AATGTCATAATGTGCTATGGATAATTTAGCAATTAATTTGTAATAATATTATTGAGACGTGAATCGTTATACCGAACTATCGATCCCATCAAAAACAATACTTGTCAAAAAAACCAAGTCTCGCAACTCAGTTGTTCTACGGTAAAAAGTTGTGAGATCCATGTAATACCAAGTCCAGGCCAGGAAATCTTTAACGTTTTACATAAATTATTGACTTGGCCATCGCACTAAATAATTTAATTTACACGTGTTTTCATGCGATGGCCAAGTCAATATATTTATGTAAAACGTTAAAGATTTCCTGGCCTGGACTTGGTATTACATGGATCTCACAACTTTTTACCGTAGAACAACTGAGTTGCGAGACTTGGTTTTTTTGACAAGTATTGTTTTTGATGGGATTTGAAGCTTCTAGGTCTGCTAGAAGTGCCTTAGAATTTTGATGATCGGTGAGTCAGTCAGTGAGTCAGTGAGTGACAAAATTAAGTAACTTTGACCCGTTATAATTCTTAAACTACTGGTTCAAATTGAATGAAATTTTAAATATACCGTGTCTTTACAATGCCTGCATAGCTAATGAAAATTCAGCCTTCTAGTTTTATCCACAACGAAGTTACAGGCAGTCAAAAATGGCCTGAATTGCTTCGAGAAAAGGATGGTACGGCCGTGCCGCTTTTTTGCTCGACTTGGTGGGGGCACTGCTGTGCCCCCAGATAGGTTACTACTACTTACTTACATTTCATTTAATTAACAAACTTCAACCAATTAAGAAGCATTATGGATGCAACAGTAAAAACTTGTCGACATTACCATAATCATTAACTTATTGCCTATTACATCATCATAGCATAGTGCATGTTGTATGGAATATAAACATAATACACGATGACCTCTAGCTATGTTAATAAATAATTGAAGTGTTAAATGTAGGTACTTAATGGTTTGATTGAGAATACTTTACAATACGTTTCTCAATATTCAGTTTAGATTGATATTCAATATGATAGATAATGGAAAATTTAAGTAGGGAGGTACATACCTAATTAATAAGTGTGCAAGAATCGCGGAATGCATCAATGATTTTGGAATACTGCGAAGGAATGGCACAAAGTCATCAAATTGACACCTAAATAATTTACAAATTCCGCGTGCTTTCTTGATGTGTCGTACCTACCTACTTTCGTCCTCCGTCTCTAGATTGAAACTTTAACCAAACTAATACACGGGCTCCCGTGCTTTCTATGATAAACCCTACTCTATGTATAAAACCTAAGGTAATCGTTATCCATAAAAATCTTTCGGCTGATTCGACCTCTTTGTCCATTCCATTCAAGTTAGTTTCACGATCACAACAATGTCGAATGTCGCCCGAAGCTAAACCAATTTATCTGCCACAGATCAATCAGCAGCATGACTCATACAGGCCCAGTACCATTTGGTACAGTCTACAGTACCTATTTAATGCCATTCGTTCTTTGTTTCAATAACCTTGAGGAAGTCACGTGACGGAGGAGGTTGATGACCGATTACAATACATAGATCGCTGTAGGATCTAATCGGAACTTTCAAGTTTATCGAAAGTTTTTGACAGGCATTGTAGTAGTTCTTTACAGGTTCAAATCTCGAAAAGTAAAGTAATTTTAAGTAGGTAGGTATTTCGTAATAATGGCGTGCTTGAATAAAAAATTAAAAGTTCTGCAGAGTAGGATTTCGTCATAGTAGCTTAGGCTGCAGACGTGAGTACAAATTACAATAGGCAAGTAAACTAGTTAGTTTTATTTACAGTTTAACTGTACTTTAACAGTAGCAAAGCAACACGATTGATTGTGAACGCGACAGGGTCAATTCTCCAACACCCGCATAGATTTATTATTTTATGACCTTCTCCGGAATTGGTTCCTCTGCATCTCTCACTCAATACCCATCTTTATCGGCTAGTAGTAGAGTTGCAAATATAATTCCCAGGTCACTGGGGGTTCGATATTGTCTCCAATGTCCAGCTCCCCTATCGGTGGTCATGCAATTTTTCAATCAAGTCGGTTACTTTTCGTGTGTTATGACTATTAGAAGCGTTTCGAAAGATTCGTTGAGGCAATTTTTAGTAATGGCTTTTTAGTGAACGATCGTTGTCTAGGCATTAATTAATCGCATTCGCGAGCAAGTTATTTTTAAATGAACTAGTGACACCAAAAGTTTGATGGACTTAATTCACGGTAATGAATAAATTCAGTTTTAGAATCTACCTAACCTACCTAAAATCTATGCCTAAAACCGGCATACAAATTGCGAACCTCCACAATTTTAATAATTGACGCTATAAGTAAGTCCCTATAAGATCAACGTGTAGGTACCTACATGATGGAACATCACCTATCCACCTAAGTTGTTGTTTACATTACCTACCTTACTTATCTTGTTGTTGTTTGTTCTTTTACCTACTTCAGTAGACGTAACTTATTTTTAGAGGTACCTACCTACCTACCTACATTAGCTTGAGGTTACGTCAGTTAGGAGGTAGGTAATGTTATGTTTATTACTCACCTACAGCCATTAAATAAACAATTAACTTAAAGGTAGGTATGTTACGCTCATGCTCAAGAAACAAGGAAATAACTTGCACTGTAATATTTTTATGTCAATATTAAATCATACCATAATTAAATAATCCAAGAACATTACTTATTCAGTTAGAATAACATCGTAGTAAGCAAGCATAAAAGTAACTCACCAAGTGATACCACACATTCCAAGTAGGTAAGTAAGTAGGTAACTTAACAAAAAAAAATTAAGAACTCACCGTTGACTATGAATCGATGCTTATCATTCTTCAGCTCTTTGGCCAACTTAGGACACTCTTTTTCCAACACTGAGCACACCTCACCCAACTTCCCACCGCTGTGTTTACTAACAACTTCTATGAAGTAGTTGCACTTATCATTATTACCAGCACTGGTTATCAACTCTAGATCGCTTACACTGAACAAGCCTTTTTTCACTAGCACGTCGAGTACATTTGTGTCTGATAGTTCTCGTAATAATATCGTTTTGTGGCGAATGAGACCGGCACACACGTCGCTGGCGGTTGCCATCGTTCGACTGAGAAAAAAACGGCCATTGAGTTGGCCCATTCAAGTGGGCACAGACAGATGCCGCGTACGCGCGGGAAACGCAGCTATAGGGCTGACTGACAACAAACACATTGCTTTCGGGATCGGGATCTGTTAGGATTATATTATCTTTGGAAGTGTATAAAATATTAAAAAGTTAACTGTTTCCGGTAGAACGCTCTTCCCTCTTCCGGCTATGTACGAACAAGATGTGTCTGTGTAAGAACCCGAATAATAAATGCTTATCTCGCTAACTATCGGTCTTTTCATTAAAGAAACACAAGTTCTGATAGGTTATGGGCCCAGACGCCCGTTAGTTAGAGTTAGGGAAAGTTTTAATTGTAGATTATTCGGGAAAAAGCGGATTTGTGAAATATAAAAATGGCGATGTCAAGTAGTAACACGCCGCTACCGCAATTGAGTGCAGGGGCATACGACAACTGGGTTTTCAGGATAAAATGCATACTCGCAGAAAAAGGTCTAACAGAAGTTTTGGATATAAAGAAAATAGTAGACTGTGATGAGAAGATGAAACTCATGGATGCAAAAGCGAGAAGTATCATCGTCCAAAGCGTGACAGACCAACACTTAAACCTGATAAAAGAAAGCACAAGCGCGAAAGAAATGTTAGAAGTTTTGAAAAACACATTCCAACGAAACACGGTCATATCAAAAATATGCCTAAGAAGAAAGTTATTGACTTTGAAACATACAGGAAAATTAGAAGAATATTTCGCCAATTTCGACAATCTTATAAGAGAATTAGAAGTGTCAGGAGAGAAAATTGCAGAAAATGAAAAAATCAGCTACCTCTTAACTGGATTGGGAGAGGAATTCAACGCAATAATAACAGCAATGGAAACGGTAAACCAAGAGCTAAGGCTCGACTTCGTAAAGTCTAGATTGCTTGACAATGAGATAAAGAGGGAATATAGTAGCACAGAACCACAATCTTCATTTGTCATCAAATGCTATACATGCCATAAAAAAGGGCATAAATCCTTCGAGTGCAAAAGCCGAGGACGAGGCAGAGGCCGCAGATATAGAGGTACTACAAGAACACAGTATAATGAAACAGCACAATTCCGGTAGAACGCTCTTCCCTCTTCCGGCTATGTACGAACAAGATGTGTCTGTGTAAGAACCCGAATAATAAATGCTTATCTCGCTAACTATCGGTCTTTTCATTAAAGAAACACAAGTTCTGATAGGATCAACAGATCCCTTACTTTGGATTTGACTTGAGGTCGGGACCTTTTTTTTGTCAACAAAAACAGGATTGGATGAGTCACGGTCACGAACGAGTCTACTGAATGTGGAGAATTCCGTCGAGATAGGGTCTTGTTCATCATTATTATTTTGAGGGATGATTAAAGTAGCATATACCGCCTTTGTAACATTAAGGATGCAACAAATAATTGAGTAATAAGTTTAATCGCGGTATTACACTTATTGGGAGTGTCGAGTGATGATAATCTCATAGTACAGGAAATATTATTTTAAGAAGTAGGTATTTTTAAATGCGACAAAGTCCAAATCTGAAAGTACTCATTATTTTAACTAGCTACCTACTTAATAGAAATTCAAAAGCATTGAATCTTAGTTCTGCAAGTAGGTAGTTCAGCAAATAAACCACTGGACAACAAGGATAAAATGATGTCACTTCCTGTGGAAAGGGAAGTGATGTTGTTGTCTCAAAAAAAAAGTATTTTGCGAACAAATGAAATTAAATAGTAAGTTTAATACACATATTATATTTTTGTTTTATTTTACACAGTGAAATTAATATTATAATAAAATAGGTATGTGGAGATATTTAATTTGTTTATTACCTTTATCAACGAACGACTTATTATTGAAACGGAACGCAAAGTATGACATGACATTGACATTTCGCTGCTGTGGCGTTGAATTTGTTGACAGAAAAGCTTTTGCAAAGTTTACGGTATTTTCTCGCAATATTTTCAGATTTAGTTGATGGTATCTAATTTATTTGTGAGTTTAGTGACTACTCGTGTCGATTTTTCATAAAACATGGCTCCTAGCACTAAACATTCGCCAGATGGTAAGTTAAAACAACATAACCTCATTTCGATGTTTGCATATATTATTTTCCTATTTTTCTCTGGCTACTGATTAAAAGGACACTGTTTTTTTTAATTATATAAAAACTAACATATTTCTGAATAAAAATTATTTAAACTTGATTTAGAATTTTGATTAGAATGGCAGACATTTTACAGTAAAAATTATAGCTGTTGTTAGCTTACGTTTACAAATTAGAAAAGTCTTACAGAAATAGATGTATAGAAAACTAATCTTACGTGTATAAATAAACCGCAAGTTACAGTAAAATAAAAATGAATTTCATTAGAGCTTCTTTGTATTTTAATTTGTAAATTAGTTTAAATTTACAATTTCAGATGCAGATTCGGGCTCAGAATCTGACAGTGGGTCTAGCTCAAGTCACAGCAAGAGCCCTAGCCCTGCCCCCTCTGGGAAAGAAGGCAGTCAGTCTCGGTAAGAAACTTGTCTTATTTATAACTAATTAACAAAAGTGCCGCCTTAGTCTCTCTACTAGACCTGTGGTTGACTGGCAGAGAATGCCACTTGGCATTAAGTCCGCCACTGTACAGTTTTATGTGCAAAAGTATAAAGTGATAGTAAAAATCCCCAACAAACTGATAGAAAAATCATAAGAAAAGTCTGTAAACTGCGTCCTGATTTACTTGATGCTTTCAACTAAATTAACTTTGTACTTGCCATTTACTTTCAGATCAGTCTCTCGCAGTCCAGCTCGGTCTGGCAGTGGATCTCCAAAGTCGAACCGCACCAGCCGTTCCCGCAAGTCTTCTCATGCTTCCAACGTCTCTCGCAACTCTCGCAGCAAATCGAACTCTCCGGCACGATCGAACAGATCACGTTCAGGCTCGGCACACAGCAACAAGTCTGGTTCATCCAGTGCCAAGTCTCATGCCTCTGGGAGTCCTAAAAGAGCGTCACGATCTCGTAGTAGGTCTGGCAGTGCGAGGTCTCGCTCAGGCAGTGCTAAATCCCGATCAGCGAGCCCTAAGTCCGCCGCACACAGTCCTAACCGTAGTTCGAAGTCTAGATCACACAGTCCCAAGTCGAGATCTCATAGCCCAAAGTCTGGGTCTCACAGTCCTAAATCCAGGTCACAGAGTCCTAAATCACGACCCCACAGTCCACAAGGACCAGTGGCCAAAAGTAGGTCTCGTAGTGGCAGTCCTAAGAGCAGCCCAGTTCCCAGACAAGACGTTCAAGATAGCAGATCTAATTCACCGAATCTAATGATTGACGATGAACAAGCGAATGACAAACCTAAGAGCAGATCCAGGTAATAATATCTCAAAATTAAATAGATGTTATTTAATTTTGAGATTTTAATTTTTTGGTTATAACTCAAACATTTAGTAACCTTTTTATATTACTGTTGTATTTCCAGATCACGTTCAAAATCGCGTAGCAAATCCAAATCAAAGAGTCGTTCAAGATCAAGGTCGCATAGTGCTGAGCCTGGTGTTGGTAAGGAAACATACATAATTTGCTGTATATTTCACTCAAATAGTCTTTTGCAGGCCAAGGATGTATGCGAGACACGATAAACTTTTATCGAGGGAATTTTATCGACTTTGCACGATAAGCTCATACATTTATTGTCTAAAATCGTTGATTTTATCATGTCTTTTATCATCGCTACTTCCTTATTTATTATGAAATCCTAAATGTGCGAATGCATTATATCTTTTCAGTGGATAAGAAAAAACGCGCCGTACTTTCCGACTCTGAAAGCGACGCGGACGCACAGAAGGCCTCCTCCAAACGCAAGAAAGAAGGCTCCGACAGTGGCTCAGACACTAGTGGCAAACCAAAAAAGAAGACCAAGAAAATCGTAGATTCTGATGAAGAAAATGAAGAGAATCAAGAGAAAGATACTGGTATGTAATCAAATGCTTTACTTATTTAGTGGTTGTAAAGGTACTTATAATTTTTTGGTCTTTATTATGTGCTTTATGTATAAAAATTTCCACCACTTTGTGTCACATTGCTTTCTGTCTTGATTTTGTATATGTTTCTTTCGTTTTCAATTCAATTCGTTTTAATGGCTGCTATCTTGTGCTTTGGCCAATGTCAAATGCTTAGAGTTCTTTTTTTTAAAAGCAAACTTATTGCAATAATGTAATTCTTACTAACAAACTATGGATGAAAGTCTAAAACAAATGATTTTTATTTATTTCATTTACAGTTACCGCGGACGCCCTATTCGGCGACGCGTCGGATATAAGCACGGAAGACGAGGCGGAAGGCAAGCGGTCGCGGTCGCGATCACGCTCACGGTCGCGTTCGAGATCGCGGTCGCGGTCACGAAGCCGTAGCGCCGCGCGGTCTGAAGACGGCAGGCGGTCGGGGGATGAAGCCAGAGGTAGCGGGGATGAGGTAAGTGGATATAAAGATAGCATTCGGATCAAGACGACCGCGACGAGAGACCACGACCCGAGACCGCGACAGGCAACCGGTCGCAGGTCGCAGGGCGACAGCTACTTACGAATCTTCGCGACACGAGTCGTGCGACCCATACGAGACTTACTAATTTCGTCTTCGTGCGAAGAAAACACGGCCATTTTGCATCTGTCGCGTCACGGCACTGCCTTGTGAGCGACCGAGTCGCGCGACGCAAGTAGCCGGCAGGCCACGCCCACACGTCGCGCGACTCGGTTGCTTGCATCCGTCAGCACTTCCTATCTACTATATAAAAATAAGTCGGGTTTTCCTCCCTGACGCTATAACTCCAGAACGCACGAACCGATTTCCACGGTTTTGCATTCGTTGGAAAGGTCTCGGGCTCCGTGAGGTTTATAGCAAAGAAAATTCGGGAAAAGGGGGTAAAACAGGATCCACGCGTACGAAGTCGCGGGCGGCCGCTAGTTAATTCATATAAAGCAGTGGGTCGCGGTCGCCGGTCGCGGTCTCGAGTCGCGGTCGCGCGTCGCGGTCGTCTTGATCCGAATGCTACCTTTAAGGGGAAGGCAAGCGGTCGCGGTCGCGGTAACGCTTGCGGTCTCGCTCACGGTTGCGGTCGCGGTCACGAAGCCGTAGCGCCGCGCGGTCTGAAGACGGCAGGCGGTCGGGGGATGAAGCTAGAGGTAGCGGGGATGAGGTCACTTACCTCCTATTAAATACGAAAGGGAAGGCAAGCGGTTGCGGTCACACACGCGGTCGCAATCACGAAGCCGCAAAGCCGCGTGGTCAGTACCTCTAGCATGAAAAACTTTCGACTTCAAATCGTTTACGTATTCGAATCGCCGTCAAAAGACTTACACCAGTATTCACAAACGATGCTTGCATAAGTGAAGCAGCAAATTGAACGCACAGCGATGAATAGAGCTCTGTGATTGGTTCGTGTGTCACCTTGGTCCACACGCACTGTTAGACCTCATTGTAAAGTTTGTGAATACGGGCGTTAGTATGAAAACTTAAACAGCGCCTCTGTGAACATAACGTAAAGTGAAATTAGTATGAACTAATTTTGACAATAGAGATCGTCACGTTAGCATTGAATTCGAAGGCTGGTATCGAATTTTGTCAAATACGCAAACGATTCGAAGTCGAAAGTTTTTCGTGCTAGAGCTACAGATGGCCGGCGGTCGGGGGATGAATCTAGGGGTAGTGGGGATGAGGTAAAAGTCATTCACTATCTGCAAGTAGGCTTTAAAAGACGCTTTTACACATCCCAGTTATACTTTAACTTTAACCCTATCATGCTTTGGGATAATAAATGGGCCAGTGCTGAGAAAAAGCGGCGTAAGTTGAGATAAGGATGAATGAGGATGCAAGCGGTCGCGTACGCTGTCTTACTTTCTATAACTTTTACTAGCTATTTTTATTGGCAAGACGAAGATCCTTGAAAAAATCAGTAAAAAATAAACGAAAGACATCTGGAAATCTCTTATCCAACATCTGTCTTTCCACCATTTCGTGAAAAAAAAAATACGCCGTAATTTTCTTGCGATTCTTATGCTCTTTTTCACTATCAATCCCTAATTTTCAAGTGACCCATATGAAAACAAAATACCTGGATTAGGGATTGATGGTGATTAAAATAAAATAATAACTAAATACTTGTACCTGTTTTCTATTAATGCATACTTATTTTCCATTACATTACAGGCCAACCGCGAAAAACCAGAAGAGGAAGAAGAAGTAGAAATTCCCGAAACTCGAATCGACGTGGACATGCCTAAGATATGGACGGAATTAGGCAAAGAGCTGCACTTTGTGAAACTGCCCAACTTTTTGTCTGTGGAGACGCGACCTTATGACCCCAACACGTATGAGGACGAAATTGATGAGGAGGAAACGTTGGATGAGGAAGGTCGAGCGAGGTTTGTTACTTTAAATTAATTTTTCCTAGAATGTTCCCAAAAATAACATACCTGGAAGTAGCCTCCCTGCCTATTATGTAAAGAGTAGGGATGTTACGGATGTGTAGTTTCGGTTACGGATACGGTTACGGATATAGGAATAATATTATACCGGTTTCGGTTACGGTTACGGATATCCATAACATCCCGGTAAAGAGTATATTATGTTATTTAACTCACATTACAAAAAATGCGAATGGGTAAAATGTTCAAGAATATTTCGATTTGTGTTCCACTTGGTACATCTGTGATCTTGTCATGACATGGATTTTAAGGAAAATGAAAATAATATTTCCAGGCTAAAACTGAAAGTGGAGAACACAATCCGATGGCGGACGAACTTCGACAAAGAAGGCAACGCTATCAAAGAATCCAACGCGCGGATGGTCAAGTGGTCCGACGGCTCCATGTCGCTGCATCTGGGCTCTGAAATATTCGACGTTTATAAGCAGCCGCTACACGTAAGTTTTTTGACCGTATGTTCGGCAAGTCTTCAAATTCCGGCTAATCACAGTTAAAATCATCCTGAGGACAAACTTAGCCATCACAGGAAACGTTTTACTGGGGCGCCTAAACTAGACCTTTGCCTAAAATCCTTATATTATCACTTAGGTGTAAACGAGATGGTAGGTAGGCAGGTAAAGTAGAAATTTTAAATGTTGGATAGTCATAATTGGCCTACAAAATCTTACAAAAACATAATGTAACCTCAACTGATATTGTGCTGTGTACTATCCCTAAATAAATAAAGAAAATCTCATAATAAGAACGCGGTTTCTTATTCCTTGCCCTCGAGGCGCATTGTATAGGTGAGTTATCCTCACCTTACATTCTAACTCCCTCCGTATTTTTTTAATTTGTAAGATGCTGCTTTTAAATGTAAGAAAATTCTCTTCCAGGGCGACCACAACCACTTATTCGTGCGTCAAGGCACCGGTCTGCAGGGGCAGGCGGTGTTCCGTACCAAGCTGTCCTTCCGACCGCATTCCACCGAATCGTTCACTCACAGGAAGATGACCTTGTCTCTTGCTGACCGTTCGACCAAGACGTCGGCCATCAAGATCCTGTCGCAAGTCGGCGCTGACCCTGATGCTGACAGGAAATATCAGTTGAAGGTATTTTGATGCTGGTTTGTTTAGTTACAGGAATTTCGACGGTCGCAGATTGGCCAGTGAACACAAATTTTGGACCAAAATACAGTTTTATCATGAGCTTACGTATGATAGTTTTACACTGACATCAGCTATTTTATAGGTATAATAATTTTCGCGGTGTTTAAGTTACCTAAGGGAGTATGCCTTTAGCCCTTCGACTTATAATCTTCACCCCATGATGGCCTTGCTAATTAGAATATAAGAATATTTTATTTCAGTAAAAAGTATACAGTACACTGCCTTATATCATTAGGAAAATTATCAGTTGTAGCTAAACATTATATTGTAAATGAGTACAAACATTATCTAGTAATTATTGAGGAGTAGGTACAAACATGTTGCAATATGGGGTACAGTGTGAAGCCGCCGATTTTCCCTAGGTAGGTATTAGTTTATTACAGTAGGCTATGTTCATTATTCTTTCTATTTTATTTTAATTTTAAGAACTACTTAATCTATATCTATAAAAGCGAACGGTCACTGGTTGAAAATTTTCATTTGTTTTAATTTACAGGTAGCAATTTTCTAAATTTTTATTATAATAGGTGATTCATGTTGTTTCAGTCTGCCCAAAAAATTATAAAATCGGTATCTAAAAATCGAAGCAAGGTTCACTAAAAGATCGCAAAAATGTTTGCAAAAAAAATAGTTTTCTTTAAATTCCCCATACAAAACAACAATATCATACCACAACACTCTAATTAATTATTATGGTTAACCCCTAGCTTGTAAAAATATACAACAAATGCAACTAATAAAATAAACATCTATTGGCGGTATGCGGAGGCGTGTTGTTCGCTTGTCCCTCTGAAAACATCCAACGATAAGTAGGGGTGAAGTATAGTAATACTACTCTGCTGAAACCTCCAGTCACACCGTCCTTTTGCCTTTGAATTAGAAAGGTCCTCCTGCGGTGTCTTTTTGTGTCTACAACTCGATCGAGCTAACTGTACCTCTAGTAGGAAAAACTTTCGAGTTCGTTTCGTTGCGTATTCAAAGTGTCATCGAAAAATTTTGTATGAAAAATTAAACAGCGCCCCCTATATTATAGCCGCCCTAGGGGGCGCTGTTCAATTTTTCATACAAAATTTTTCGATGACACTTTGAATACGCAACGAAACGAACTCGAAAGTTTTTCCTACTAGAGGTACTGCTCACTTCGCTGAATGCGACTCTCCCTCGCACTCACCCGCACACTTCCCCGCGTTCGCCCCGTCCGTACCACACCGTCGATGTGGCCTCACGGCTGTCAGGTGCACAGTTAACTCGACCGGGTGGTACTGTCATTTGTGTCAAATATTTTTTTCTCCCTTCTTAACCCGGCGAGGATGTGGAGGGGTCAATTTTACCCCGTGCTACATATTTTTGTGTACAGTTATTTATCCTGTAGCCGTGTGCTGTTGAATGTCTCAGTAGCTGGAGTAATTGAACTCTGCTCCCCTTTGCACGCCACTTGTGAGTCGACCGTCGTCGGTGAAAGAAAATAGACGAGCGTAAACGTAAAAATCACGAAATTTTGCCAAAATCACATTGCTCTGTTTTGTTAACAATGAGCTGATTTGTACCTTAGAAGACTCATTATGAATAAATAATGATATACGACATTGATTACCAGAAAATACTAATTAATATTATGAGATATGATAAAATTGCTTTTTTGTTCCAAGATAACGCAAATTTCACAATTTTCTAGACTTTTAGAATAGCTCTATTATCTAAACATGTATATGGCTATTGGTGAATTTTTCAATTTAAATCCTTTAATTACTAACTATTACTTAAGTTTCTTGATAAATATTTTTTAAATTACCGCTTAGTAGGGAAAAATCTACAAACCAAATACAGGGTCATAAAGACCCTCCACATTCCCGACTGATACTTTTTGTACCACATCCTCGCCGGGTTAATGATGACGAACATGTCTAATCTCTCCTTCACATCACAGAAAGAAGAAATGGAGCTCCGTGCAGCCATGCGTTCGCGAGTCTCGACCAGGCCCAAGCGGCGCGCCGGCGCGGCCCGGGCAGGCGGCGCCGCGCGACAGGGCGACGACTCCGAGGACGAAGGCGGCGTGTCGCTGCAGGCCATCAAGAACAAGTACAAGCAGGGCCAGAAGGGTACGTGACGTGTGCTCGCAGCGTGTGTGACGTCACAGGGCCGGCAGGGCGACGACTCCGAGGACGAGGGCGGCGTGTCGCTGCAGGCCATCAAGAACAAGTACAAACAAGGCCAGAAGGGTAGGTGACGTGTGCTCGCAGCGTGTGTGACGTCACAGGGCCGGCAGAGCGACGACTCCGAGGACGAAGGCGGCGTGTCGCTGCAGGCCATCAAGAACAAGTACAAGCAAGGCCAGAAGGGTACGTGACGTGTGCTCGCAGCGTGTGTGACGTCACAGGGCCGGCAGGGCGACGACTCCGAGGACGAGGGCGGCGTGTCGCTGCAGGCCATCAAGAACAAGTACAAGCAAGGCCAGAAGGGTACGTGACGAGTGTTTTATCTTTGCAGGAGAATACAGTGACGTGTCTGGAAAATCCATAGTAGATAAGTATCGAACATGAAGGGGACCTGACGTGCGCACTGCGTGGGGTCAAAGACCTTGAGAATAAGGCATGGCATATGAAGCCGTGTCACTGCAGGTCATCAAGAATAAAATATAAACAGGACCAGAAGAGTGAGTGACGTGTGATTTGGTTATGCTTTAAAGTCAGCACAGGAAGGTGAGTTTTCTATGCAAGAGTACACATTGGTGATCTGCCCATCCATTTAACGCAAATGACGTCACAATGTCAACGACTAAAAACAACTGGATGTCGCCGTTAAAAAATAAACTTGATGTGCAGCAGCGTGCACGTAGCAGGTCAGTTTTGAAAATGAAAGGGGGACAGACCTGCGCGCGGGCATAAGGTCAATGACCCCAGATAAGGCATCAAAATGGCGCGAATTGAAGGACGAGAGCGCTGTAACGCTGGAGGTCATCATAAACATCTTGATCAGAATAGACGATACACTTACATTTACAGCGCGGTGCGTTATGTGACTTTTTAAAAAATAAATTATAGGTTAACTAGCTTTCCGCCCGCGGCTTCGCCCGCGTGGAATTTTGTCTGTCACAGAAAAACTTTATCGCGCGCGTCCCTGTTTCAAAAACCGGGATAAAAACTATCCTATGTTCTTTCCCGGGACTCAAACTATCTCTATGCCAAATTTCATCAAAATCGGTTGCGAGGTTTAAGCGGGAAAGAGTAACAGACAGACAGACAGACAGACAGAGTTACTTTCGCATTTATAATATTAGTTGGGATAAGGAGTAATTGTTAGCAAAAAATCATGCGTATTCTCTTGTTGCAGCGTCAGCCGGTGCGGCGATATACTCATCAGAGTCTGAGGGTTCGGACGTGGAAACGCGACGTGCGAGACGCTTGGACCGCGTCAAGACACTCAAGGATTCTGATTCGGACGGCAGTGATGCACGGCAAGACTCGCCGCAGCGCTCGCCAGGGAGAAGCGGGAGCGGTAGCGGCAGCGGAAGCGGTAGCGGGAGCGAGTAGCAGAGCGATCTATAATGTACTGAGAGCAAGGAAAATATCTATACAAACAAGTACAGTCGCGGAATGAAAAGGTTCGTCACCTTAGTGTCGGTTTTCGCTTGCACTAGGTACTGTAAGAGTCAAACCTGCCAACATAGAAGTGCAAGAAACAGTGCTGCTAACATTTAAATAAATATGACGTTTGCTAACGAATAAGGTTTTGCTTGTTTATTTTTCTATCTCATCAGTGCAATGCAATGATGACATTGACCAATTGACAATAGTTTTTTTTTATTTAATAGAAATAATAATGGCAGGTTGAATCAATAAGAAGGTTTTAGTTTATCAATCATATAATCTTCTTGACATGATAAATCGTCAAACAACTTTGATCTGAATAATTTTGAACTTTACTGACGAACTGTTAAAGATTATTTTCTCTAACTCGAGATTATTCTGTAACATAGTTTCAAAAGGTAATATGTGCTCGCGATTCATTGAAGGAATCAATTTGAAAACTGACGAACCTTTTCATTCCGTGACTGTACATAATTATCATTCGTGACGTGCTCCTCCAGTGGATACTAAATTACCTGATGATAGTGACAATAGTATTGAACTCTACATTGTAGAGCCACTTTGACCCCTCCACCCTCTAGACAAGGTTTAAGTTCCATTTGTGGTAGTTTTTGTACTGCGCTATTCAATGTCAAAGTCAAAAGTCAAAGTCAAAATTTCTTTAATTGTTTGGACTAATAAATAGTTCTTACAAATCGTCATTTTGCTCTTAAGGAGCCTCTACATGTCTCATAATCTTTTTACCCTACCAGCGCTTCGAGACCAACATTTGGCAAGTGCTGAGAAGAAACGCCGCAACAAACTCAGTCACCACTGTCTGCCGGTTAATATAAATTGAGCCTGGACCCGTCAAAAATGCTGCAAAACAGACTCGGACGGATAAATAACGCCATCTATGTTTTGGTAACTGAATTAAAAGCAAGCGAATTATTGCTTCGGTTCGATGTTGCTTTGTTTACGAAAAATGATTGTGGATAAATATTTCGCAAATAATTTGTTATGAAAGTATTCCGTTTTAGATACATAGACACTATGTATAAAATTAATTAATGACTTAGAAGTGTGCCATGCTGGCACACTTTAAATCTGATTTTAGTGTAAGGATTGTAAATAAATTAAGTATTCATATTTTGTATTTTATTTGTCGCTGGTAATTATCACATAACTTTCTAAATGTCTCCTTTTGTATGTTAGTACTTAAAAATTACTGCAGGACATGAAATATCAATAAAAAGAAGTATTTATGATAAGATATTGTCAGAACGAGCACGTTTTTATGGCAATTTTCACGATTTTACACATTTTCAAATACGTTCCTGAAAATTTTTACTTCGTAACGTGCCCTGCTTTTGCTCGATTGGTATGTTGTATTAGTTGTATTACATTTTATTATTCAGAATTCTTGAAATTTATGGACGTGTAAACATATTTTGACTTGTATGTCCCACTTTATAACCCTATGGTGACGGGCCCGGGCATATTTACACTGTATGCATCGTTTATCTGAAGGAGGAATTTGACACACTTGATATCAGCTCAGTTATCGAAATAGGCGGTCATAATGCTCATTGTTGTTTCCACAGCACAAACGGGTTTGGTGTGTCACGCGTTTGGTTTACACCGAAACTAAGTAAGCCTAACTAACTTTGTAATAAAAGAGTTTAAATTTTCAGCAGGTCTTTTGTTTATATTAAAGAGTTGAATTAAGTGACTTATAGGTTTTATTCTTAAATAACTTATAGTAATCACACTAAATAATTATATCAATTCCTAATTTACTCTTGCATCTATTAACAATTTTTAATTCTAATACAGTGAGGAACGCATGCGTGTTCTTTTCTTCAAAGGACCTCACGCACGACGTACAGAATTTTACGATAAGAAAAATAAATAACTACTTATGAAAACTACTGCAGTGCATCTAATAACAGACATTCTATTCTGTGAGTGCAACCATATCAAATCTGACTATTGTTAATCGAGAGGTTGCACTATGGTCTTCATGGACAGAGCCGTTTAATGTATGTCAAACAAACTTTTCTGATTCGGCTGCAGCACTTCCAAATACACTTGGGTCCCATACACTATGTCTCCCACACCTGTGATCCTCCACAGCCCTTGGTCTTCGCTCGTCAAGTTCCTGATGACGTATCCACAGGTATCCATGTCGATGGTACTCCTCTCGTAGAACCTGTCAAAGGTGGATCTTGGAGCGATCAGCTCGCAACTGGTCAGGTTCTGGATTGGGTAGGCGAAGCTGAATGCGAAAGTGTCTCCTTGCTTCAAGTGAGCCACGGTCGGACTGGGGGGCACGTAGTCTGAAATCAATGGTAATCACATTATGTAAGATTCTAGTTATGGATGTCTTCCATGGTAAAGATGCTGAAAAAAAAAAGATTCTATTGTACCGTCGATAACGGCCGAAGGATGGTATTAAGGACTCTACACTAAGCTCGTCGACTGCCCGGCAGCTTGGTGCCGGCGGCTTTATTTTAAAACAATCATGTCGACGACTTGTACTTTCTATGGCTTTTGACAACGTATCAAAAGTCGACTCATGTCGGCTGGTCAGCGGATTTGAGTAGATTCCTATAACTGTGGTATTAGTAAAAAATCTAAGCATGTGTTAGCTACTCAGATCATAGAAGGGAAGTTAGCTAGCTTGTTGAAGGGACAGACATTTACATGTCCCAAAACGTAGCTTTGTCTAAGTTTTGAGATCTCATTGTTGATTTTTCTGACAAAATATTTACCTGTAATTTCTATCGTGATGACTTGAAACGTCTCCACCCAATCGCCATCTATATCCTGGTAGTACGCACTCAGCACCCAGTTGCCGTGGTCTTCTCTCAACAGAGGTCCGATGATAAAATCGTTCGAATTCAACTTCTTCGTATTGTCCTCAAATGTTTCCGTGCCTTCGACATCATCATTGAGATTGAAGACCCTGAAATTGCTGACGGGAACGATTCCCTCATAGTTCCTTCTGTTCTGTATAACGATATTGTCGTAAATATCGTTGAAAAATAGTTTTTTGTGGTAGTATTTCGGACGTGTAACGTTCAATTTGGTGCATTCTCCGCTAGGCTTGTATAGGTAGTAGATAGCATTTTGTATGACTGGTGCTGAAATCACGACTATGTCTGTCAAGGAGCAGGAGATGCGAATGGGCTTCAACTCGATCTTAGTTTTACCTGAAAAAAAAATTAGATTGGGTAATATTAAACATCAAAAGCATTCATTTATTAGGCATTCACAACAAGTAACAATCACAAATTACAGGATGTCCCATTAAAGAGCGTGCCAAACTGAAGAGCGTCTCAACAATTTTTTTTGGAAATGTAGGTAACTACCTATCACCATTTCACTTTTAGACACGATATTTTTTTCTTTCTCTTGTTGCTGTGTATACAAATGAGCAGACATTTCTCTCTTATGCTTATTCATCTTGAAAATTATTTGCCCATTTAAACTCAACAAGGCAACAAGAGATTGTTCAAAATTGGGGATCTAAAAAAAACATGAAAAAAAAAATCATGTATCTCTGAAATGATGATACTTTTCTAAAGCAATTTTTTTTATAGTTGTTCATCCATTAGTCTATCATCTCTTTAACTTTGGCACGCTCATTACGGGACACCCTGTATAAAGAAAGTAACAATGCCTAGAACTAATAGATCATTAGGCATAGCTGGGCACCGTTAATCAAATAGTTAACTTCGTTAATCGTTAAACCGTTAATAAAAAAATTAATTTCGTTAAACGTTAAAACGTTACTTTTCACAAGACTTAACGTAAGTTAACGTTAATCGTTAATCCGTTAACACATGATAATAAAACGAAAAAAATAATTGTATGCAAGGTTCAAATAATTTCAAAAGCTTGTATCGCGCATGGAATTTATTCCTCTTTTTCAGGGTTCCCGTTCAGGGGTCCTGACAAGGAACCCTTATAGTTTCGATATGTCTGTCTGTCCCGAGGTTTTGCTTGGAAACTATTGGCACTAGGGAGCTGTAATTTTGTAGAGATATGTATATTAATTACGCCGACAAAACGGGAGACTAAAATTTTGAAAAAAAAAAAAAATTTTTTTAGGGTAGCTCCCCTACATGTAAAGTGGGGATGATTTATTTTTCGTCTTCGACCCCATCGTGTAGGGTATCGTTGGATAGGTCTTTAAAAATGGCTTAGGGGTTCCTAAGACTTTTTTCCATTTAGGGATCTGTTTGCAAATTATTAAATTTTAAAGTGCTAATTTTTGTTCGAGTAGGGCGTCCCCCCCCTCTAAAAACTAAACTGTTGGCTTGAAAAATCTGGAAAAATTCATGATAATACTGCTATTCATAAACTTTCAAGGAAAGCTATAGCGGTTAAGATACATCAATTAGTTTGAGAGTAATAGTCATTTAACTCATGTATTACAAAATTTCTTAACTAGTGAAAATTCCTTAGAAGAAAATATGAAAAGTGACTGTATATGAAGTAATTGCTTGCTTCTGAAATATACTGTGGTAACGACGGACCACTACGGAACCCTACACTGCGCGTGGCACGACACGCTAATTATTATAATTTTATTTTACACTTTTTAGTAGTATCTGAGATTGGGCTCAGAGCCTTGTTTCAATTACAATACAATTTAGCACCAAAGTGCTCGAAAAGACAAATCCAGCAAAACCAAACTCGATAAGTTTCCACCGTTTCGTTTAGGAATTCCTATGGCCACCTCCTGACTCCATCATCAGGACCCTGGACATCATCTAGTACTAAAGTGCTCGAAAAGGCAAATCCAACGAACCCAAATTCGATGCGATGCCGCCGTTTCATTTAGGAGTTCCTATGGCCACCTCATGACTTCATCATCAGACCAGCTCAATGGTACCATAACATTGCATTGTCATCGTACTTACATAAGTATACCAAATTTCAGCTCAATCGGTTCAGGAAAACTGGTCTTAAATTCAGTTGCAAGAGTTGTCCCACACATACTAACAAGTGTCGTTAGTGATCTGGTTACAAAAACTGTTATTTTGTGTTCTGGAAGTTCTGAAAGCCCGAAAGTACCTACTTGTCAGAACGCGTTTTTCTAGCGTTTTCCAGTGTGCTTTCGGTAAATAGTAGGTACTGGATTAACGATTAACGGACTTAGGATAATTTAACGGAAGTTAACGAGTCCGTTAACATTTTTTAAAGTTAACTTAAAAGTTAATCCGTTAATAGAAATGTTAACTTCGTTAATTAACGATTAACGGATTAACGAGTTAATGCCCAGCTATGTCATTAGGTACCCAAAGACGTGTAACACACAGCATGGTAAACAGTTAACATTTATCTTAATTTATTTAGTTTTGTAACACATCTGAATTCAACATTTCCCGTGTGTGTCACCAATCCTCAAGGTTGCGTTGGCCGTGTAAATACATGAATTATATTTTTTGTCTGTGTTATCGTGTTTGCTGTTTATCTGATAAAAAGTTCTAACAATTCGCTCTTATTTAGATCGCGACATACTATTTTCATCGGTTATTTTAACCGAATTAGTGTAGAAATTAAGACCAAATATCTTCGAAAGATTTGATTCATTAATAGACTCCTTTCGTTATGATTGTAGCTCCTATTTCTTATTTTTTCTTTTCCGGTTACCATAAATATCGTAACTACTCTATTCTTATGTTTTCAACATGTAAACATAGTAAATGAAAGGTGTTCGATTAGAAGAAGCTATCGAGCGTGACTATCGTAAACTATGAGAACATTCAACAATGTAAAACTTCTTCAACTTTTAAGAAACCAGGACTGAGAGACTGTCTGTATTATAATAATAATTAATGATGATTCAATTATTACATATTCAATTTATTGAATGAATATGGAACTATTCATGCACAGCTGCATGTATAAATTTTGACATGTTATTGTCAACCACTACAAAAACTTGGCAAACGCCTTTCAGTGAGTAGAAAAAGAATAAAATTAAATAATTAATATAATAAATTAGCCCTATTACATTGTTTCCGGCGTCCAACTATACAACATAGATACTAATTATAACTAGAAAGAAGCACTTGTACTCACTTGTTCTGCTCGTACTTGGTTCCGTCCGCAGTGTCACAGAACTCGAAAACACAATAAGCGTTGAAAATATTACACACGCGTGCATATCTCCACACGTGGGAATCGACTGGTCGAATACACTTGCCTACATGTCATCACTCTTATCAGAAAGGAATAAAAACCACATTGGCAAGGAAGAATCGATTAAAACGTGTTTAAATTGAACTCTCGGATGGACACTTGTTTCAACACTCGCAATACAGAACGTGTAATTTTTAAAAACAACGCTTTATTAAACCATTTAAGCTGATTATCAACCACGTTGATACGGCACGAACTTAGTAGTGTGTTTTATAATCGTTATAAATATGTATAACACATAATATGCATTAGTATAGACCTATCTATACTGCACATAATTTATCGAATTGCATTAATTTGTCGACGCTCTATCTAGAGCCGTGTTCAGTAAGAGACGTGTGTTTATGTGATATGTGTTATTTAATTAAACAGGTATTGCACCCAGAATGTAAAATTGGTGGACTTTTTACCTTACAGCATTCTCTACCAGCGCACCTTGAGGTACTTAATGCAGAAATAAGTTAATCACTCACTTCAATTTTAGCAAACAAAAATACTGATTGATGAAGTTTCGTGGATTTAATGGCCTAGTAGCCAAACTGGGAATAATAATATAATACATATGTATCTCAAGGTGATTTTGCTTTGTGGGTTCTACTTGGTAGGATATTAGTCGATTCTGGTGAAGGTCGCGGGGAAGTGCAAGGCCGTTCGTTGTGGAAATCTTTGGGAGAGGCCTTTTTCTAGCAGAGGACGTCATTTGGCTGAAACGAACGAACGAAAGAAGTGGATTTCCTTTCTCTTAACACTGCACCAACAAGCATTGAATGATAATCAATTTTCGACTCAAAAGCGAAGTTTATTAGAACTATTATCCTAAACTGTTCACGATGCGATCGCAGTGGCAACGATCCAGCCAGTGTAGCTGCCCACTCTTGTGTTGATGGCGGGATACCAGTAGTCCGCACAGCTCCTTGTCCAAGAGAATACTCCTACCACCATCCCGTTGTCCACCAGTGGGCCGCCGTTGTCGCCCTAGCGGAAAATAAACGTTAAAGAATAGGTACCTACTTTCGTCATGAGTTGTGGGTGTGATTCGACAAACCTTTGTCATGGAAAAGGCCACATAGTAGGATGTGTTTTGGATTATTGATATTTGGTTAGACATTGTCTAGTTAATGCTATTACTACTTGATAATTTCGGGGGGTTCACCCAATGTCTAAGTGGTTCAGACGGTGAGAACAGTCGGCCGGCAAGCGAAAGGTCGTGGTCGAAATCTGATTGGTTAACTTATTCAAACACATCACCTTTCCGCTTTGGTGGAAACCAGGGCTCATGGATGACGCCGTCAGATTTTTAGTGGGCACACTTCACCCTTCTTGTAAGTAGAGCCACATATAGCTCACTAGCCCCCTAGTGAGCTATTACCTGAGTGGCCATCCGGGTATAGCCGCAACTTGGCTTATTTCCAAAGGTCCACAACTACATTGTTCTTCTTTTCCCTTCAGGTCCATGAAAATTTAAAGGTATAACAAACCTCGCACTGTCCCCTTACGACGACGTAAAGCCACCCAGCGCACACCATGTTGTTGGTGACCGAGAACCCGAGCTTGGTGTACCACTTGCGTGTTGTGGTATCCCATGTAGGCTTACTATAAGACTCATGTAGAGGACATCGTCAGGATTTGGTGTGTTAAGGACCTGCCCTTCTGCTTGAATACAAGAATACAACCCGCTAGCAGCCCCCTCGGTTGGTGGCTAAGAATTTTCACTATACATAGGTAACCCTACCTTGCACTGTCCTCTTACGCCGACCATGATGTAATGTAGTTGTAATTTTGCAACAAAATTTAGGCTTACCATATGGCTCAAATAGGACACCGTCCGGTTTTACTGGGTAGACCTTGCTCTCTGGTAGGAAGATGGGGGTAGTTAGGTGCCATCTAGACTGGTGGATATGCAATTTGATGCATTTTCCAAAGTATAACAAACCTCGCACTGTCTCCTTACGCCGACGTCAAGCCACCCAGCGCAGACCATGTTGTTGGTGACCGAGAACACAAGCTCGCTGTAGCCGCTCAAACTTTGAGGCATCCTATGTAGGCTTACCATAAAATGGCTCATGTTCGAGGACACCGTCAGGATTTAGTGACCCTGATAGGACCTAGCTGCCCTTTTGCTAGGGAGAGTACCACATAACATAACCCCCTCGACTGGTGGCTAAGAGTTTCAACAATAAAAGGTATCCAAACCTCGCACTGTCCCCTTACGCCGACGTCAAGCCACCCAGCGCAGACCATGTTGTTGGTGACCGAGAACCCAAGCTCGCTGTAGCGGCCCGCGCACGTCTGCTGGTTCACCACGAAGATGTCCACGTGGCGCATCTCGTCCGACTAGTAGGTACCCTACCTCGCACTGTACTCGATCCACCCAGCGCAGACAACCCGAGCTCGCTGTAATACCGGCCCGCATGTTATGGCATCATACTCGTATGAAGTCGTTATAATATCCTATGTAGGCTTACCATATGACTCATGTAGAAGACACTGTCAGGATTTAGTGTGTATAAGCACAAAATAGGAATAGGGCCTACTCTTCTGCTAGGGAGAGTACCGCATAACCCGTTAGCTGCCCCCTCGGCTGGTGGTCAAGAATTTTCACAATAAAAGGTATCCAAACCTCGCACTGTCCCCTAACGCCGACGTCAAGCCACCCAGCGCAGACCATGTTGTTGGTGACCGAGAACCCGAGCTCGCTGTAGCGGCCCGCGCACGTCTGCTGGTTCACCACGAAGATCTCCACGTGGCGGATCTCGTCCGACCAGTCGCCTGTGGGCTGGAAGAGCGACGAAAGTTTACAATTACCTAAATTGGTAATAAAATGGAGATCTCCAAAAATATTTTGACGTAGCGAGGAGATTTACGAAGCTATTAATGTCTCAAACTCTATCTGAAGTTTTAATAAGTTTTTTAACAAATTAATCAATCTTGCACTGACTAGGTATAATATGCCTTGTTCACGTGGCATAGGCAAACTTAGAAACACTATCGCCTTATAGCCATAGGTGGCAAAAAAAAGTATTTTTCGATTTAGCCAAATAAATAGTTTATTAAATTTGTGGAAATATTTTAAGAATTCGAGTGTGATTTTCAGTGGATCAAGAGGTAGAATAAAAGAGTCCTGATTTGTAGAGGTAGATCCTTTCATTTCATCAATAATAATGATACTTATAGGTTTTTTACCTTATACTTGTAGATAGCAGCATAATTACTTGCTTTTATTCGCATTATGGTCTACACTGAATAGCTTGTCTAAGCTTACCGAAGTCTTTCCCCATCCAACGCCATAAACAACAGCGTTTTGGACGAACGTATAGCCAGCCCCGGCGATGGTTGCCGCTTCCGCCACCCCCGGCTGAAGGTTCATGTTAAACCTGAAAGATAATTATATATTTAAGTACTTAGTTCGTACATATTTCACGCATTTGTGAACAAAATAATGATCATTCTGTAGAGAAACTTGAGCACATTTCGAGCAAGCACTCAATCTATACTAATATTATTAATGCGAAAGTAACTCTGTCTGTCTGTCTCTCTTTCACGCCTAAACCACTGAACCGATTTTGATGAAATTTGGCATAGAGATAGTTTGAGTCCCGGGAAAGGAAATAGGATAGTTTTTATCCCGGTTTTTGAAACACGGACGCGTACGATAAAGTTTTTTTGTGACAGACAAAATGCCACGCGGGTGAAGCCGCGAGGGGAAAGCTAGTGAACAATAAACTACTCTGTGATTGGCGGGAAATACAATTCAATAAAGTTTGTAGAGAAAACAATAATTGAAAAACGAACAAAAGAAAAAAGTTTTGGTGGCCAGGGGAGTGAGGCCAAGGAGTTAGGTCGTATGCAGATTCATTATGCGGCAAATAATATAATTAAGTATAAACTAAAAAGTTTTGATTTAATTTTTGGCTCCTGAGCAGGGAGACGACAAATGAAACAGCTGGATGCGTGTGCGATAATCAAGAGCGTAGTTTATTAATTATTAACTGCTTATATACTAATAAGATGTGCGTCAGTCGTGACGCGCGACCTACTGTGTTTTGTCTAATAAACAAATGCAGTATACGCTGACGCTACATCACTCCCCCCTTAAAAAAATACAATGTAATGGGGGTGCAAAAATAAAAACAAAATAATAGTGTATCATAACTTAAAAAAAAAAAAAAAAAAAAAACAAGTATTGTCACTACAGGTGCGATATGTAAACTGATACTGGTATTTGCCGTATAAGCAAAAATACCAGTCAAGTGCATTGTTATGTAATTTAAGAAGGCATGCTATAAATAGAACAATAAAATTATTATGATGAATTAAATCGAACGACGGGTTTTGAAGTTCGTCCGTAACGGGTCTTCTTGNGCGTGTGCGATAATCAAGAGCTTAGTTTATTAATTATTAACTGCTTATATACTAATAAGATGTGCGTCAGTCGTGACGCGCGACCTACTGTGTTTTGTCTAATAAACAAATGCAGTATACGCTGACGCTACAAATTTGATTGCGGCTAACAGCGCACTTCGTAAAATTAGGAACGTGGTTAAAGTAAAGTATACTGGCTTTTTTTATTATTCGCCATAGTTTTAGTTACAAGAAAATTTTATTTTAACATAATTACTAACACTTGGCCTCTTTTGACTGGCATTTGTTAAGTCGTGGTTAAGTGATAAGGAAGTTTTTTCAGCAAATACCCTGATGTGCTGTTGTTTGTATCTTATTTGAACTTAAAGCCTAAAAGCAGGATTTTAAAATGTTGAAAAACAAAAGTAGCCACTTCACCTGGTTCTTATAACAGCAATGTCGTTGTTAAGCGTCCCCGTATTGAAGTTCGGGTTCGGTGTGATGCGGTTCACCACAAAGATCACTCCGCCGCCGTTCCTGAAGGAAGACCCCACTCGAACCCGCCATTGGCTCACTGGGTCAGCACTGAAAAGAAAACCATAATCTTATAAATGTACATACACTCGGCATCAAATAAATCGCACCTCCCGCGACAACCACTTATCAAACGTATGCGGGCATACGTTTGATAAGTGCTTGCACTTCCCACCAACATTGGTACCATTTGAAAGCCTAGTTTTAAACTTCATTTCATTAAAGGAAAGATTTTTACCCCAAAAATGTGTCTTTATAAGGATCCAGAGTCACTTCTTCAAAAAATAGGTAGTTACGCTATAGCCATTTTTATGATTATAAAACTGTTAAGTTGGGATTAATCGCTATCCATCTGTTAAAGAGGACACGTGAGATCTTTATTTGGTTTTATAACCATAAAAATTGGTCTAATTGATCCCAGAGGTGAGCCCAAAGTGAGGTCTATTTTCAATTCACTTTTATGGTATATGTTAATGAATAATCATTTATTTAGAAATGAAATGTATTTTTCTTTAAGGATATTTATTGGGCTTTCAAATATGTAACACCAATATTGTTGGGGTACCATGATTGTGTCAGAAAAAAATCTTTAAAGTTCGCGTTCCGCGACGCGAACTTTAAAGATTTTTTTCTAGGTGCGGTTTATTTGATGTTGAGTGTATGGCGACCACGAGCCGGAAGAGGAGCGTGGGCAGGCCTCTCACTAGGTGGACGAATGATCTGGTAAAGGTCGCGGGAGGTATTTGTGGAAATCCTTGGGGAGGCCTTTGTCCAGCAGTGGACGTCTTTCGGCTGAAAAGGAGAAACCCTTGAAAAAGAGGCTGACAATAGTGACTGAGTTTCTTGCGCTGCTTCTCAGCACTGGCCCATTATTGTCTCGAAGCGGTGGTAGAGTTAATGCTGGGACCGAGACGTGTGTGTGAAGTGCTTTTTAAAAGCCTACTTGCAAAAATGAAATGAGTTTTGGATTTTTTAAATAATATAGTAAATCGACGACCCTCTATTTTGTTTTCACTACAGAAGGACAATCTTCTCTAGTTTTACCTGAGGTAAAAGAAAGCATTTAGCCTACATTCTCCACACTGGCTAAACAGGATGGGGAGAGCTGATGTTCTCATATTCCTCCCTTAGTGACCTCTTACGAAAGAGTTCATAGTTCGTTTGTTAGTTTCAGCCAAATGACGTCCACAGCTGGACAAAGGCCTCCCCCAAGGATATCCACAACGACCTTCCTTCTGCGACCTTCACCAGATCGCCGGTAAAAAAAGTCTTATTTTTAACCGATAGCGTGTGACGATCACTTGCCCAATTTGCACTTATACAAAAGAAGATTTTACTTACACAGTTCCAGTAAAGAAACACGAAGCAGAGGACAGCACTGCGTTGTTAGTGAGGATGGTGCCTCCACACGCATGCGTGAACACGTTGCCTGCGCCTGAGTTGGTCAGCAGAGGGACCACGAAGGGGTACTGGCTTATGGAGGTCGGTTGTCCTCCTGCTATTCTTCCATCTCCTGCCATAGGACCAATTTAAATCGTAATTAGTATGGTAAACTACTTACTACTGAAATTCTAAAACAGGACCGCGTACCTAAGTATGTAACGGTAGGTAGGTAGAATACCTACAGAAACTTTCGTGATGGGCAAATACTTAATGATTTCTTCCACAGTCTCCACGACTGTGACAATCAGGATTTTAATGATGTTTCCAGTGAAAAGATAGTAAAAATTGGAAGAGATGACTAAAATAATAATACCTAGGTACTGTTGAATTGCATTAGGCACGAGTAACCTATAGCAATTTTATAAACTTATGGACACTAACTAACACCATAAGAACTAAAATGAGGATCAATTTTCTTACACGTTTTCCATACAAGGGTAAAAAAGAAGAAGAAAATCTTACCTTTACATAGAGAAATGAAAAATCCAATAAATAAAATAGAGAGCTTCATTTTGTCGATAGAGGAACTCTGGCTTACGGTCGCCTATGGTATCAAAACTATGTTATCACTTATCATAATTAATAAATTTAATCTTAATCATTTACGAAGCATACCTACTGTTTTTGTAGATAAGATTCTGCACTTACTAAAATACTAGCTTTCCGCCCGCGGCTTCGCCCGCGCGGAATTTTGTCTGTCACAGAAAAACTTTATCGCTCGCGTCCCTGTTTCAAAAACTGGGATAAAAACTATCGTATGCCCTTTCACGGGACTCAAACTATCTCTATGCCAAAGGACATTGTCAGAAACCGCCTTAGATTCCTGGGCACAGCAGTAAAGTATCAAAATTAATCTCTTACTTTTTGAATACTTAAATATTAATTAGATTGTAACGGACACTTGAGGATTAGAAAATGAAATAATAAAAGTCTTTTATATGTATTCCATAATACTATGACGACATCCGGACATTTTAGGGCGTGGCCTGCTCCATATCCTATGAAGTTCCATAATTTGTGTCGATAAAATCTATGTAAAATCGGCACAAGGCAATGCCGTACTTCATTGTTAGGAATCCATGTAATAGTGATGTTGACTGCGGTCATCATAGACAATAAGATAACGATCTTGTAAATAAAATAAATCGTCCATATTGCTACAGTATGACTAGATTTTAATTAAAAGTTAAAAATATATTGCACAAAATTCTTGCTTGGAATCTAAACACTTCTTTTGGTACCCATATATTAAAATTAAATGCGTGAACAGCGATTTATGTAGCCAGAAGCAACAGACGGTGCGGTCAAAAACCATGCTTTAGAGGTGCCTCAAGCTGAGTGGAAAAAATGCTATGAAAAGTATTTCGGACACATAAAAAAGTACATAAATCATGAAAGACAATACCAATAAACGCAATCAATACCATTTTAATAATAAACTACTTTGTTTTCATAGTTAGGCTCACAACTTAAATAGTGTCCCACGTATCAGAGCTGAATTGTGAGATAAAGTCGAGCTGCCGCAGTCTTCTTTCGGTGTCGCATGAACTGGGTGGTTTATTTAGGGCAAACGTTAGCGGTTTGTGGTCTGTATAAACCGTAAATTCCCTGCCTTCGATCATATGGCGAAAGTGCTTGATAGCCATGTAGATAGCAAGGAGTTCCCGATCATACGTGCTGTACCTTTTCTGTGTAGCACTGAGAGTTTTGGAGAAGAATGATAAGGGTTCCCATTTTCCATTTAACCGTTGCTGAAGAACAGCTCCTGCACATGTGGATGAGCAATCCGTCATCAAGGCGAGGCGAGCGGAAGTGGTTGGATGCGATAGTGCAACGGCGCTGTTAATGCTTTCCTTGCATTTCTCGAACGCTTCTTTGGATTTAGAGGTCCACTGGATCTTGGTCTTGTCGTTTTTCTTAGAATTGTGCAGGTACTGATTAAGCTCAGCTTGTATCTGGGCAGCGTGTGGTATCGATTGACGATAAAAGTTCATCATGCCCAGGAAGCGACGCAAGTCTTGTACGGTAGTGGGTAGGGGGAAACTTGTGATGGCCTTGGTCTTCTCTTCTAGGGGTCGTATTCCATCTTTGGATATGTGATACCCCAGAAATTCTATCTCGGCTTTGCCGAATTCGCATTTGTCTACATTTAGTGCGATACCGTATTTGTCAAGTCTCTCTAGAACTTGTCTCAACAGGATCTTATTCTGGTTCTCGCTGCATGATGGTAATAAGATATCGTCGACGAAAACGAAAACATCCAGTCCTTTTAATACCATATCCATNTCAAGAGTGGAAAGTAAACATAGGATTCATGTTATTTATTTACGTGCAAAATGTAAGTAAGTAAATCATAAAAGTGGAACGCCGAGCTATTTCCAAAACCCGTCCAATATTATAATACAATTTGGCTGCGACAACTACAATACAGAACATCTCCCAAATCGATGTGCATAAAATAATATAATACAATACTAGTAAGTAAGAGGTTATGATAACAATATTGCTATCAATAAGTTTATAGAATTGGTCCGCCAGGAATAATTGTTCTTACATAAAGATTTGTGTCATTTAGAACCTAGAAAGTATTTTTTCGGCACTGTTGATCTAACGGCGAACAATGTATGGAGAACGAACATTGTCCTTTCATCAAAATCGGTTCAGTGATTTAGGCGTGAAAGCAAGACAGACAGACAGAGTTACTTTCGCATTTATAATATTAGTACCTATAGATTACGGACGGGTAAGTACCTACCTGTCTAAATTTAAAGTAAAACATACTTGAGGGTACGTCCATGCATATATTCAGATCACATTCTTTACTACGCATTAGTTTCTTTTTTGTGATAGGCTTTAGAAAGGTACTAATTCTTGAAGTATTCCACTCTTAACTCTTTTAAATTCCTACATCACTTTTTTTTTTTTATGCTAGCCAAGGCAGGTATTTGACCGCAATCGCACCTGGTGTTAAGTGAGATTCAAGGTGTGAGTGTTATTCTCATCTAAGACAATGTTACGATGAAATTCAAATCGTTGTAAATCTTTTCAAACTGGTAAAGGTCGCGGGAGGAGCCTGGATGCGGGCAGCGCAGGACCGTTCATTGTGGAAAACCTTGGGGGAGGCCTTTGTCCAGCAGTGGACGTCATTTGGCTGAGACGAAATCTTTTCAATAAAAATTGCGATGAAGCTACATCTGCCTGCGGTGCTCATCAATTCGGTAAAATGTATTTTTACCGCTATCAACACTGAATGTTTCTGTTTGAACTAACTCTATGATATTTAATTTTAATCTTAATTTATCTTTCCAACCTCTCATTCTAAGATAGGTACATTTCTGGAATAATTAGGCATGTATGGTACTTTATAGGACGTAGGTAGGCAATAAATGAACGCATAGTATAATCTGAAAAAAAATATGGGGCAAATGACTTACGCACTGACAAAAATAGTAAATGTTAAGTGCCAAATAAAACAGAAATTCATAACATAACATATATTTCTTTACACAAAATGTAATAATAAACAAATGTACGAGTAATGTTGGCAAAAACCTAAGTAATTCATTTCAGACAATGTTTCACAACAATGAAATTTTCCATCCGAATTTTCTTCAAATCCTCACATTTAATTTTCCACATACATGTGACTCACATTAAGTAGCGTCCAAGTATAATTATAGAGTGCCCAGATTAAGTTTTTGCCAACATTCTTCTGCACACTTTTTTATTTATGCAGCCATAGGAGTGTGGTTGACAGGCGCCATGGGCGGCGGTGGTTGCTTTCGGAAGCTGTTGCGAATGGTGGTGGCCCTGCGGTGGACCCAGCCGCGGCTTTTCTTGGACGTCAGCGAAAGAACAATTATCATGAGAGACATGCTCAGCAAGAAGAATAACAGCCAGGTGTAGTTTCGTTGGACCACTGAAAGTAATATACGTATGTATAATTCACTGACATCAATGCTAGCGGCGGTTGTGGATTCGAATCCTGCCGGTAACAAATGCTATGTCTTGAGCATCACTCTAGTTCTTGTTATACTTGTAATAGGTAGCGAAATAATGCTGGATGTAGGCTGTTACGAACCGAGCAATATGGAAATCATTGGGGGATGCCTACGTTGAGTAGTGGACGTCCTGTCGCCGAAATGATGATGATACTCATAGTACACTCTACATACTTTGGGGTTCAGTATTTGGTATAATAGTAAAGCATTTTATCTCCAGCTTGTCGGTCCATTAAGCTGGTGAGATACGGGACTATTCCCACCTCTCGTTCCCACCGCTGCAATTCCTGTATAGCCAGGATCTACAGCTTGACCGCCAATAAAAATCCAACCAGTGAAGGTCAAGTTTGTCCCGGGGGAAAGTTACACTGTCATTGGACCCGCAACAAAATTAATCAGAAGAACATAGGAGGAGCAAGTGAACGGAGTGATTCTGGTAAAAATATGTAGGAAGAAAGGGCTACTTACAAATGATATGCGGCGGTTGGGGCGATGGAGTCGTTTCGTCTATAGGCATCTCAATAGTGTGGTCAGACGAGCCGTACACCTCGACCTCCTGGCCGAGGATCTTGGCGGCCACGGTCCAGGGGTGGTTGTCCAGCATGGTGGGGTCGGCGATGGTAATGCTGCAGAGACCTCTGCTCAGGTCGTCGTGGCTGGTGTAGCGCGCAGGCAAAGTTTGGGAGTTGAACCCTGGAAGATTGTTTAGCTTATGAAATGCAGGTTGGGAAATAAGAATGGTTTGAATTAATGGTTGTTAATATTAATAATAAAATAATATTTGCTCCTGGCAAATAAGAGTGAGAAGCAATGATGCATGAAACAGAAGCACTGCATAATAATATGTTTGCACTTATAGATTGTTTCATTCACGAAGACGCGCCCCATAAATTTTTGGTCAAGAGAAGCGCGGGGTGCGGGGAGTTTGATCTGAGCAATCCGAGCGTCATTATTGCAGTGTGCGTGTGCACTCATGGATGATTTAGCGTGTACCGATAACACTCAAACATTAGCGGAAGATTGGTGAGGCGCGTTTTCGTGGATGAAACGATCTATACTGCATAAATTTTGCGGAAAATATGAAATTTTATGTTCATCTTTTGTCTAGCCTCTTGATCTTACCAGATCCGTCGATGCGGACAAAACGGCAGTACTCCAAAGCGCGTTCATCGTGGACTCTGCCTTGTACGATCAACTGCTGTGGGCTTATAAGAAGCTGCTGTACAGCAATTTGAGCTGAAAATGATAAGACATTTAGTTTAGATTTTATATGATGTGACGCGATTAGTGTTACCTACACCTACATGGTAAAACATAATTCACATTTTTTTTATCATTATTCTTCTTCTTATCATGTCGACAACAAACCTACAGTGTTAGCCCAAAACTTCGCTACAAGAGTGGCGTTGTCAGCAGCATTAATTAAATCATTGATCATTATTGGTTTTCCTACATGGGAAATATAAATATACGAGTACATACCAGTCAGAGTTCGGATGATAAGATTAACCGAAAAATCCAAAAATCTTTTTCTGACGTGCCTACTTACGTACGAGTACCTACCTAGTTATGTTTTTTACTTGATAGAATTCCATTATAAAAACTTACGTTGAACATTAACACTAAAGGAAGCCCTTTGCTCTTCAGCAGTCGCGTCAGTGAATCCGACATGACAGCTCCAGGCTCCAGAGTCTCTTTCCTGGAGGTTCCTGAACCTGATGCCGCACTCTCCCGCGTCGAAGCCCGCGCCTACGTATTCCATTACGTCAGATTGTGTACCTGGAAATACATTAAAATGATTTAAATTTCATAGCAAGTAGAGACGATGGCCGTTGGGGCAGAAAAGTTCTCGAGTGGCAACTACGGGCCGGAAGACGTAGCGTGGGCAGGCCTCCTACTAGGTCGCGGGACGAAAATGGATGCGGGTGGCCGGACCGCAGGGCCGGTCGTTATAGAAAGCCTTAGGGGAAGCCTTCGTCCAGCACTGGACGCCATTTGGCTGAAATGAACGAAGGTCACCACAAGTCTCCACTAAAACCCGTATGTAGTATTTTGGCTTGCTACAATTTTCGAAAATTACTTTGGTTTTATTTAGATTTACCAGATTTTATCCCTTAGCGAGCATCCCCAAGCTTCATTTCTATTGGTCACTGAGCTATCGCTAACTGATTTTTTACAAGTTGGAATTCATCATCATCATTACAGCCACAGGCCGTCCACTGCTGAACACGGGCTTCCCAATGAGGAAGATGAGTGTAATTATTTTATAATGTAAAAAGGTGAAACATAAAATATAAAAAATATTAGTGAAAGAATTTTTTCGATATCTCAAAAACTGAATTTTCTATGGGCATTCAAAGTTGGATGTTTTAAAAATCAACTCGCACTTGACCGTTTAGCGCGTGACGTCACACCGCCCGTTACCTCCGCCGGGATGGCATTGCTCCTTCGCGCGCTCATAGACTCGTACAGTCATTTCGAGTTTTATAGAATTATGGAGTAAAAAATACCATGCAGATATTGTATAGTAACCCTTTTATACTAATACAATGGTTAGTGCCCCAGAAAATTACTTTTAAAGCTAAGAAAAGCTGATAAATACATAAATAGTGTAAGTTAACGAAAAGGGAGAAAGCGTTATCTACAAAAACCAGTCGATATTATTGCAAAGATCATTTTAATGCGAGTACCTACCTAAAGACAAAACACCTACCATTGTATATTTTTCATTACAATTTTTTTATAAAGTATTTTAGTGACATTTTATTTGAAACAGTAGACAAAAAATAGAGAAACAAAACACGAGGCACGCACGCAGATGGGTTACTTAAAAAGTAAATTGAATCCTTTGAAACTTTNCATTATTTCCACATCGCCCGGTTGGAATCGGCGAATTCAAGAACATCCTAAGACACTGTAATTAAACTCCTGGGACATTGATATTAAATCCTAATTTTAATGTAAATGCAATTTTTACAAAATCCAACTTACTGGGAGAAATGCTGAAGACAGTTCCATTGCGTGCCCTGAAGTAGCAGTACCGGATTACGGACTGGACTGAGCAGCTCATCGTAACCTCGTCACCTTCTACCGCTGAAATCTGGTTGTGAGAAGTGGCCAGGGTGGGTTCTGAAAATATAAATAACTTGATTATAGATGCAGTTCGATAAGTTAAAGGTGCATTCAAGGAGACAGAAGAACCCGATTACGAGTATTATTGGTATAAAGACCGTCTAAGGAAAAACAAAATTCTTGTTCTCCAAGCACGCTGTAAGATGCCATATTAACAAAAAACCACATACCTATCTAAAAGTAATTACGTGACGGTTTTCTTATCAATGTGCAATAACTTTTAAAATATTGGATTAAGATGCATTCCCACTGCCAATCAATTGATAACATAATTAATACTTTTTAAGTTCTTTATGAATTTCTTATTTTATTCTGCTTTGTTCTTTTTTAGTTCGACTTTTAAATGGGAATTACCTAGTTATAATATAAGTAACTATAACTAGCGACCACCCGCGACTTCGTACGCGTGGATCCCGCTTTACCCGCTTGGGGAATTATTAATATTATATTCCCGTCTTAGTGAGAACCTACGTTCTAAAAGGAACCCCATGCAAAATTTGAGACTCTAGTTACTGAGATTTCGTGATGAGTGAGTCAGTCAGTAAGTGACTTTTTATAGAATATAAGTAGATAAGTTGTTCCTATACTATAAACTGCTCCCTTGGTCAATGTAACCCCTAAATTATTAGCAATCGTTACCTGTGGATACAGTGTGGTCATCGGCGGTGGCCCACGGCCAGACCACTCGCAGGAAGCCGTGGTAGGCCTCGTCATCGCTGGTGACCATGGAACAGCGCCACATGCCCAGATCTGCGGCCTCAGGGTTCGTGATGCGGAGACCACAGTCGTTTGTCGTCACGTTGGAAGCTAGGCTGAAAGAATTAACGTAAGAGATCTTACTAATCGTTCTAGAATTACAGGTAACTCGTAATTATTTTAAGTACAAATGTTTGTGTCTGTTACGTCTGTCGTCTCACGCTACGCTTTCCGGTACGTGAACGTGAGCTTTGCCCCAGAATGTCCCCAATCTTAAGGGGGCGAAATAGGAGATGAGAGTCAATATGGAACATACTCGTATTATGCTTGATCTATTACCTCAACTATTAATAAACAATACTTACTCCAAAAATTTAGTTGAAATTGATACATAGACAACCAGGGTTGGTGAGGGTAGGGAAAAGGCGCATTCTGTCAAATTATAAATCTGCTCAAAAATGTCTGAAGTGCTAAAAGTGTTCCAGGTTTTGATGTTATTGTTGTATGTGAATTTGTAACGTTTGCAGTCAAAGTCACGAGGAAACGCTAGTAACTAACTACATATTATTTGATGTCGTAACTTCTGTACCTTGATGACCAAGTCGTCGATAACGCATTAATTGTTGCTATCTAAATAATTGGATAAGGATAATGCGATTACATAAAAACTATTGTAGGAATCTGATATTTTTATTCATTACTGAATTATTCCATGTTTTATTTAACGTGGCGTGCGACTGTTATCTTTTAATTATAGGAAAATTACGATTTGCACAACCAAGCAATTAGCAGGTGGTTTAAAAATATTTTATAAGAACAAATAAAGTACCTATTTATATCTTTAAGAAACACTTTGCGTTCCGTGACACTACTTATGAAAGAGTGATGCTATAGACAACTGGAGACACGTCCCTTCAAAACTGTCCTATGCAGTATGCATCATTAACAGTCTACAGTAGTCCACTGCTGGTCATAGGCCTTTATCAATACACTCCATGTTACCCTGTCTTCGGCTTGTTATATCCAGCTTCTGCCAGTGATCGTACCCTATGTTTATCTACAGAGTTGCAGTAACTATCAGAAACTTTTCAATGCGAGAGTGAATAGGCACTTACAGGGCAAATATGTACCAAGACTGCATCTCAGGTGCGATTGCGGTCAAAGGCAGGACAGGTAGCTTGTTAAGCATAAAAAAGTAACTTGGGGTCATTGGACGGGATTCTACGTGCTCACGGACCAGGCTTTAGTACTTATTGTGTTGTATGTGTTTTTAGTGTGCAAATAAATAAGTTATACCTGACGCCAGCTCCATGGAAGCTGTACCGGTCTTCGCCAACACCCTGAGAAGCCATGAGCACGCGTCCAGAGGGCTCCCTGAATTTGCACATGCGGACTGTGTGGTCTCCTTCGATGGCACATTTGAGCAGGATTGCGGGCTGGTTCATTTCCACATGAGTGACCACTTCAGGACGAGGTTCTGGAAACCAATGGTGGAAAATTTTTGAGCATTCGTGATGCATTCGTTTGTTTTCTTCTTAGTTTATCGCGTTATACTCGAATGATAAAGGCTCTCGTGCGTGAATAAGTACTTGTCTAACATACTTATAGGGCAACGACTTGCTTAGTCACTAGTTTAAAAACTCATTTAAAGAAGGAAGTAGAAAGAAATATTTTTGATTAAATAAAATGTTATACTACATTTTTTTATGCATCAATTGCGGTTATCATCAGGATATTAGTTTTCACTGCAGGAACACAAACCTTTGTATTTTAACAGAAGCAAAGAGGATTTAACCTGAATTCTCCATTTTGGATGCAGCAGAGTAGAATAGGACCACACTAACACTTGTGGGTGGTGACTTCGCGTGAAATATTATGCTAATATCATGCATCGTAGGAGCGTAGAATAAACCCTCCATTTGCCTCAAGTAAAGTAACAGCAATAGAATAGATGACAGTCTGATGACTCACCAGCGCTGTTCACATGAACGGTAAGAGTGTGCTGTTCAGTCAGCACTCTGCCAGGAGCGCCGACTACCATGGTCCAGGTGCCGCTATGCTGATCCGTGGCCCTATCCAGCGTGATGCGGCACCGGCCGAAGGTCTCGAAGACTGCGACCTCTTCAGGCGCTGTGATGCTGCAGTAGACCGCGTCTTCTGGGCCCACCTCCACGTCTACTGGACGGTCTTTCACCCATTCGAGTTTCGTCACCGCTCCTTCCCATGCAGCTGTTCGAAATTCACAAATTATTATTGTTTGTTTTTAATTTTAATTTATTTTATAGCCACGATAGTCGAACGGTGAAGGGGTCGGACTGGCCGACTCGAGATCCGGGGATCGCGGGATCGAATCCCACCGCCGTTTGACTATTGTGGTGAGCCCACTCGCAACACAAGCATATTTAGATTAGCAAGAGGGGCTAACGGGACTATTAGTAAGTGCAATACAAATTGCTAATAATCTTTAAAAAAATATAAAAAAATACACCGCATTGGTCTGCATTTTGCCTATGAAAGAAAAGTAATGATCAGGTCTAAGGTGAAAGGGATAATCCACATAACAACATTGGTGGAGGTCTCTGAACAAGCCCCCCCGAGCAGAAAAAAATTTGCCCATAATTGGTATCGAACCCAGGATCCAGAGGGGATTTGAAAGAAATGGGCTACTTACCACTATACCATAGATAGACTTAGATATTTTAATTTAAAGAGGTTATTTTGAATTTCAGCAATGACAATACATATCCCTATTTATTAGAAAGGTTGCACCATATCATTAAAATATCGAATGTCTGCTTTTTCCGCAGGTTTAGTTATTCTCTTTTTAGGCGTAGGTAATATTAGCAAAAAATCTCCAACGTCGAGCTATTGGAACGCTGCCACGAAATTCCGATCGACCAGCAGATCAAGCGCCGCAAGTGGAACTGGATTGGCCACACTCTCCGAAGGGACCCCGATCACATCCCTAAGCAGGCTCTGGATTGGAATCCAAAAGGAAAACGCAAACGTGGTCGCCCCAGGCAAAATTGGCGGCGCACTGTAGCGGACGAGGCGAAGAAGATCGGGAAGACCTGGAGCGAGATCAAGCGAGAAGCTCAAGACCGAACGCGATGGAGGACTGTTGTGGACGCCCTCTGCCCCATCTAGGGGACATAGGACCATAAGTCAAGTAAGTCAATATTAGCAAAATCATTGTGATCTGGCACCTAAAACTCTGTGTACTTATAATTTATTGTGATTCATAAAATAATTCAGATCTTTTTACCAACCTATCAAATAAATCAAGCTAATCATGTACTATTGTGATTACGTTGATAACTAACTTACTTACGGATATGATATTTTCTTTTGTGATGTACTTAGGCATAAGTTCGCTAACATTGTAAGCAATGAAAGTTTGAGTACAGTCGATGACGCACATATCTAAACATTGTGGCATCTTATACAGTTGCAGTAAGTGCCATATTACAACTGAAAAGTTGACTGACTGTACCTACAGTCAATGAAGTTTACACTGATAAGACTATAATACCTAACTTACCTAAATCTTAATCCCATGTTATACGTTATCAATTTAATTAATTTCTATATTATACTTAGTGATAATTTAAAGCAAGTGCCTACCTTCTTATTTTGTAACGACTTCAACTAGTTCTTAAGTGAAGTGTGCAGTTCTAATCTTTACTATTTAATAATTAAAGCTATTAAATGACTTGCATAAACATATTTACCATTTACAGTTACTTGAGTAGCCGCTCTATAGATTATCGCATCTCCGTACACAATTTCCCATGTCCCTGCGTAGTCCATTTGGACGTCTGGAACTATGAACCCACAGGCAGATATGTGGTTCCCATCGACATGGTGGGGGATATCAGTTCTCCCGTTAGGTCCGAGCAGTTTGCAGGTGCCATGGTTATGCGTGGGTACTGCTAAACGGACGTAGAAGTCGCTGCCATTAGTTAAAGTGACCTCTGCCGGCAATGCCCCTACATTTTCTGCAAAGTAAAATTAAAAGTCACGAACAGGTGTCAAGGAAAGAGCTGATGGCTGAAAATTTCTCGAGTGGCGACCACGAGCCGGCAGGCCTACTACTAGGTGGACCGACTATCTGCTGAAGGTCGCGGGAGGTGCCTGGATGCGGGCGGCGCAGGACCGGTCTTTGTGGAAAACCTTGGGGGAGGCCTTTTTCCAGCACTGGACGTCTTTCGACTGAAACGAACGAACTGCTAAACGGACGTAGAGTGAAATCCTTCAGAAAGTGACCTCTGCCGGCAATGCCCCTACATTTTCTGCAAAGTAAAAGTTCCAGCTCACGAATAGGTATCAAGGAATTAATTATGAATTTATCTGCGTTGTTTTGATCTTATCGATTGTACGTGACATGATAATAATATGTGAATTTAAATCGATAATTAATGTACATTGACAAATATTACCTTCGACGTTGATAGTGATGTTTAATCTTCTCTCAATGCGTTGGGAAAATCTGGAGTCCCTGGAAAGGAGAGTCCACCGGCCGACAGACTGTTCGGTCTCTACGTTAATTTCTACGCCACACGCTGTATGAAGGTCTCTAAAAGCTTTAATTCCAAGGGCAGCCATCGAAGCAGTATCATCGAAATTATATTCCTTTTCATTCGGTGCAACAATGTGACAGCTCTCGGTGTTAATGAAATCGTTGTAATTTATTCTGACTTCGTGGCTGCTTCCAATAGCAGTATTGAAAATTTGCCCATTCAAATATTCGACTTGTCTGTCTTCGATAGCCTCTTCAGTTTCGGTTTCAGGTGTACCTTTGATAGTAAATAATCACATGCATGAGCATAAGGTTTCTATGTGTATGAAATCTGAGTCTTAAGACATTTTTGTTATTGCACATTTATTAAGCGTGACTTGAATAAAGTGGTTTTATGTCGTGATGATTAATTATTTTAATCCTTAAACAGATTCCATCAGTATACATTATAGTCATACGGACAGTATGCTATATTATGATACTAATAACCAATCAAACGACCTCTATTAGCTTTTCTAATAGGAATTAGAGATTACGGTACTGAATATCGCATTGCACACATAAATTGAAGTAAAAAAACACCTGTTTTTCTGAGAATGGGCAAAATGGATCGCGATAGGCGCTAAAATAGCCATAACCAATTATATTTGAAAAGACGTTTATTTAGATGTAGGAAAAACTATAGTGAAAATTATAATAGGTAATTCAGGTTTGAAAGCAGTAATTTCACTAAGGGTGGATTCGACCAAACAAGAGTAAAAATTATTCGACATTTCGACATATTTCCCATACTGAAACTCTCAATATGCCAGTTATACTAGGAGTTATTCTCGGATAAAAGTTTGTTCGAATCAGGCCTAAGTAGGAATTAGCTTACTTATCTGTGGTATTAGAAAATGTACTCCAAACTACCCAATATAACTAAAAGAAGGTTAAAAAGTGCAGTAATAAACGATCAATACCCATAGTTATTAGCCTTTTTAACCACTATGCCCATTCTCCTTTACCATGGTTAATGATGATGAAAAATTAAGCAATCTGAAGTAAATAGTCGAAAAAACCTAACAGAACCCTCTGAACAATCTTCGAATTATTTTTTGAATGTGACTTTTTTCGATTGCATGAGAATCGTTTAGGTACCCCAGGTCTCGACCAGAAAGGCGCGCAATCCTCATCACGCATTGGTTCCCGCTGAAAACCAGCTTCTTAGCATGTATTATATTATCTGTGGCATGACGTTTGTGTCATGTCGCGATTTTTGCTGAGCGGGCGCCTATTCACCATTTTTTTATGTTTACTCTTGCTTTGTCTACCATATTGTGCTGAATAAAGACTTTCTTATTCTTATTCTATTTTCTAGGTACTCACTTGTTTCCAAATTAACTTGGTAGGATTTGCTGCCAGTTTGCTCAGTGTTTGTTTTGTAATGCAGCGTCCAGAGTCCTTCATCTTTGGTATCAATGATTTTGACATCTACGGCGCAAGGGCTCAATGGGTTAAATTCTAGTAACGCAAACTTGTCTGTATCGTACGTTTGGTCGAGTTTATCTTGATCCCTGCTGAATGGGATGGTTTCTCCCGTGGGAGTATCCAGGTAGCAGTTGATATTTTCTTGACCACTAGTCCATGACGCCACAATTCTAGTGTTTAAAGTTTCTCCAGGTGAGAGATTGACGACGGTCACGTCAGTTGCCAATGCGTTGCCTGTAACAAAAATGACATTAGGTTTTCTAGAGAATTCCTAATATATTTTGTTCAAAAGTTCGCCTCTCGCTACGATTTTAAATTGAATCGTAATCCATAACAAATGTTAGATAATAGTCAAGAGATTGCTTAATGGATTGAATGTCAATTTTTAATATTATACGCACGCTAAGGGAGTAAAATAATTAATTTAGTTGTTCCACTGTATCCTGACCACGTATAAATATCGTTCCAGTTATGGTAAGGTAAGTATCCATTGTTTTTGTATGAAACACAAAAAGCGCTGCTACGGTTGTGCAAGGAATACGACGATTATGAGCGAATATTTGCTGTGTTTTAGTTTAAAAATAAGGTGTTCGGACTTTTAATGAAAAGTGCATAAATCCGAAAAAACAAAACAGCGTCACTACGGTTGTGCACGAGGGTTGTTCGTGCTCGGGGTACCTACTGATCACATCAATAATCTAACTAACTAGTCTGGATTCTGGACCAGTCCAGTCTGTACCTACTAGTCCAAGAGATGCTCAACTTAGTCTAAAAGAAAGTTTCTGATGATGGAAGGAGGTAGAGAGAGGTCCTGTAATGTTGACTGTTGTAATATGCATTATAAAAATATCACGGACTCTACAATCTTATTGCAAAAGCACACGTATTTCAAAATCAGATGCTATAGCATGTGTTTAAATGTCCTGACCCCTTTATGGTGTATTTACTGATAATAAGCACCAGAGTAGATGGTTAAGATTGCAATCAAGAGTTATTTGCAATCAGTATTTACTTGCGACTTTGTCCGTGCACAGCCAGTAGGTACCTATGTATTACCTACTTAGGTACAAAGAGTAACAATACATATGTATAGCTAACTAAGAAACAATAATAATGCATCGTTATACAGCTTGCCACTGAAGTATACAACCACGGCATATGAAGCTAAATATCTTATGTACCTAGGTAGTGGTAATAAATGTTTTAATGCAGCAAAACAGTATTTACTAGCATGACTCATTAAAGTAAAATAGTGAAAAGTATATGTCCATAGAGGAGATCCAAGGAACAAAGACAGATTGCTATATAAAAATGCTACAATTACAAACATTGAAATACCTACGAATTTCAATAAAGGCAGAGTTGCACCACCTAACTTTGACCGTAACTTTAACGTTATCCGGTGTTTTTTGTATGGAGTTTGACAGATTTTTGACGTTTGTCAAAGTTAAAGTAAGATGGTTTTATTTTTTTAACAACCACTGTGTAAAAGCTGCGCACGTGACATTGGCGGAATAGTGTGCCCTCAGTGGCGAAATAACGCAAGTTCATCGCCATACGCCATAAACCAAAGAAAAAGAACCCAGCCAAAGACATTTAAATAAATTTTGCCCCATCGTGTGAATTCGTGTGGCATTTTGCTCGTTAAAGTATTTTTCTTGATCATTGACTCAAATTCTAAAATGCAAGTGAATTATAAGTAAAACAAGTTAGTGTTAATGCACTTTAAATCGGTACCTACTCACATTTTCCGGTTAGTTTTTTTTTCACACACACAAACATACCGTCACTATTCTATTGAGTTATCTTTATATTGTGTTCACGGTATAGTTATCCATGAAATTGCAATAATATTACACTCGTGGAATGCACTAGCTTTGTTTAAATCGCACTATATTTACCTGCAAGGAGCAGTGCGCAGGCGCCGATCCACACACATGCCTTCATTTTGCCGACGCTGTGACGACTGGTTTACCACGACAAAGACTCGGATAAACTAATGTGATAATAAAGATACAGGGTGGGCCTTTAAATGTATTCTTGTATGCGCTAATATAAACTCAATTTTGTAGATATCTTTTTTTTATGCAAGACAAGGCAAGGTATTGACCGCTATTCTGTTTTTATTTTGAGTCAACCTTTGTTTTTAGTAATGTTATACAAAAGACAGGCTATTTAACAGCACCCTACAGCTAATAGGGGCGGGGCAGTACAGAAAATTTTTGCATAAACGGGAAATTTTAGTCAAACGTTTTCACGCGTACGAAGTCCCGGGCACAGCTAGTATTTTTATAAAAGTCCATGGAAACCGGCTGAACAGCTGTTACTTTGTAATCAACATGCAGCTGGACACTGAGTAGATTGCGCAGTTATTATGACGTAGACTTTCTTTAGCTAAGAAAGGATTTTTAAAAATTGAACCCCTAAAGGGTGGGGAGGGCTTCTAATATTAACGCGAGAGAAGCCGCAGGCAAAAGTCAGACAAAACTGACTCAAAAATGGATTTAACTGCCTCTGTCACAGTATCTAATCTAAAGATAAATGATAATCTGACTGTTCTATGAACTTATTATAATGTTTTTATGTAATTATTTATTTTAAATTAGTTCACACATCCTGTAGTTCGAGACGACTAATCTAATCTATGCTTTGACATATTGACTAATCTTAGATTTATTGTTGTTGCTTACTCTTATTTTCTCGACTATATTTAAATAATGATACGTTATGCATTTTCAAGCTTCATACAGAAGGTGATGCAGTCATATTAGAATGTTTTCCATTTGGTCGACATTATTAGGGAAATGACATCTAGAAATTTTACAATAAGACATGATTTCGTGACTTAATGGAGGGCAAAATCTTCTCCATAAATCTGAACTCTTTAAAGCCAATTTACAAGCAATAAACCTTGCACTATTTTAAGTTAAAGTACCTACCTACTTAATACTAAAATTCTAGACGGATCAAATTTGTTAGGTAGGATTAGTTCTATAATTAGCTTAGGCAAAATAATTTCCTCACAAACAATAAAAGTTATCTGAAGGTCGGGGTGACTAAGGCATCAAAGTACAGACGATAGTACAACAAACTAAACACTGTAGCATTTTGACTTACTTGACTTAATGTCCTATGTCCCCTAGATGGGGCAGAGGGCGTCCACAACAGTCCTCCATTGCGTTCGGTCTTGAGCTTCGCGTTTGATCTCGTTCCAGGTCTTGCCGATCTTCTTCGCCTCGTCTGCTACAGTGCGCCGCCAAGTTTGGGGCGACTACGTTTACGTTTTCCTTGGGGTTTCCAATCCAGAGCCTGTTTTGGGGATGTGATCGGGGATCTGTAGCATTTTAGGTACCTAAGTAGGGTAAACTTCCAGACATTGGATTACCAGATATTAGACAAAACACCCCTGAATGTCCTTAATGAATATGAATTCAAATGCTAATTAAAACCAGAGTATTTTCTATGTTAAAACTTAACGCCTTTTTATCTTCATCAGTTGGAATCTCTTACTTATTTATTTGTTGAAATAAAAATGCTATAAGTATTTTTTTTATCCAATAAACCTGAAAATGTAAGCTAGTTGCTTACTGACTGCTTGATTCTGGATTCGTACCTATACACACTGCCAACAGTATAATTCTTTTTTTTTAATGTTCGTTGAAGTCCAAGTATGGTTTAAACGGCGAGAAAAAATCGAATAATTTCCGGGAAAACCCCAAAAACAGCCTTTTTTTTAACGCAGGAGAAGCCGCGGGCGGAAAGCTAGTCAATAGATAAAAACATATAACTAACACACAAAAATACTTACTTTGTATTCAGCTTCACTAACTAACGCCTACACAACTTGGTAAGCAACAGCAACTTTAGCTGTTTTGTGTTTTTCAGATGGACGAGTTCGTAGGAGTAGAGTCAATACAGAAAAAATATTATGAGTAAGACTTACTTACTAACTATATTGCACTGCCAGAAACTTATTAAATCTAGCTTCTACATACATTTAAAAGATAATAACTTATCAATATCCTATGACTTTGCTGTGAATTAAGTTTAATGTTTTTTCATCATGTAGAGTTTGTTTGTACTATGTGTCAATGTTGCCTGTTAAGATCATGCAACATGGTTTTCCACTGAAAATCAGGTTTATAACGAGGGTTCCATGGTTTCAGTCGAGTGTAAAATATTTAGGTCTCATATTGTGCGTTAGGCAGTTAGTATATCTGCTTGGTTTCCTAAATCTTTTTTCGCTTATTTACTTTTCACGAAGCTAAGGTTCGTTTCGAAGTTCCTAAACTATCTACGCCTCCAATCATGAAAAAAACTTACCCTCAAGCATCGTCAACCCCAAAGACCCCCCAGAGCCCTTTACTAAAGTATTTTTTAAATATATATACGTCCAACGAACAACACATTATTATTATTTGTCAACATAACGTAGTGGCACCAATGACCGACAAGAACCAATGACCGACACTTTATTTTTTGATTCAATAAAATAAGAGTATAAAATCGATTTCTTAATATGTCAACACTGTACCATAGAAAGCACACTTTTGACTGCCTCCCATTGACATTTAAGCAAAATCCGCCAATTTATTTTGAAAATGGCAGTATAACAACTGATTGCGACTGGAGTACCGGTGAAAATAACAACATTTCTTAGTAAAATACTTAGGGAAGTGAGTACATTTTTTGTTAATTTCACGACTGTATTGTAACTTATTTGAATTTTATCTTTTTCACGGGTTACTTTAAGAACTATAGAATCCATTTTTGTTATAACGAATTTAAAATGTTATTTTGATATTAGTAAAATGTTGGTGTCGATCACTGGTTTTCACAAACTGACTTTTCCAATAATCGACACGTGTCGATAGTAATTTTTTGGAACATTTTTCATTTGACAACCGAATATAGTTCTTATTTTTTTGCGCATTTAGTAGATGTTTGAAGTAAACTATTCATAGTCGAGCTACCAGTAATCGACAAGTGTCGATTATTGGGGAATAATATATGTCGATGATTGGTTCGAGAAAAAAATATTCTCCCGAGCAGTTAGAAAAAGCTGTAAAAGCTGTTNTTCATTTTTTGGGATTTTTTTCTAGTCCGTGTATAGTTAATAAAAATAATACATCCTATTCTTATCTCAAGAATATACCTTATCATGCTCAATCGTTACTTTTGGTTTAAATATGACTAAATGACCTTTAATCTTAATAAGAAGCCCAATATCTCCTTAAAGTGTCGATCATTGGTGCCACTACGCTAGTTTTTTCAGGTAAACGGCTGGCCTCCTGGGGGCGTAGTGTGAGTTTACGTCAAACACATTCGATGTCGACTGTGTAAAAAAGTGACATTAAATATATGACGGATTGTACAGCGCCCCTAGCGGTAACTTTTAAGAACTAAAATCTTCATACTTTCAAGAACTAAAATATATGAAGATTTTAGTTCTTGAAAGTGTCTACTGTACAATCCGTCATACATTTAATGTCATTTTTTTACGCGCTCACTAGTGACGTTTGATGTAAGCTCACAGTACCTCGTATTCAATATAATTCGATACTCAGCCTTCGAATTCAACGATAACGTAACAATTTTTAGTCAAAATTATTTTCGTGCTACCATTTCCCATACTGAGTTCACTTTATGTCACTCTCGGGGCTCTGTTTAAGTTTTCATACTAAATCTTTTGATGGCATTTCGAATACGGAAACGATTGTAAGTCGAAAGCTTTTCGTGCTAGAGCCACTGATCAATTATTATAAGATGCGTACGCGTCTATAATCTCGAAGCCTTATTAGCGCAACACAGCTCGTTAGCGTGTACTTCAGACCTCCCAGGGTACCTCCCAGGAGAAAATACGCGGTCGCCACACTTTTGGGTCTGCATTGGAATTTCCTTCTATTGGGTTAGGTTGCTCGTTACTTACATATACATACATACTTACCAGTCGCTCTTGAAATTCTTAGGTGCGTTTTTTGTGGAAACTTTTGATTTTTTGTGTTTTTAATTATGTGTAAGTCCACACGACAGTATCAAGCTTAATACTGAATCATCTTATGTAATTGTAATAGATGCGATTTTCCGATAAATATTATGTGGCTTTTCCAAAAGTATGGAAGCTGGAAACATTGAATTTTCGGATAGTTCCAGTTTATTCTGTAACCTATTATTGGTACCATTTGAAAGAGCTCGTGAAGCACTTCCAGGATCAGTAACTAGTTTTTCGATATTTTGCATAGTTTCGAAATAATCGAGTGAGATCACTAATCGTTTCCACCTTGTATAATATGTTTGTTTGTATTAAATTAATTTGTATAATTTCCAAGGTAAACATATTATTTTGTCCCAAACTCTTACCAAAAGTGTAGTCACTGAAGTAATAATCCAGTCGAGTGCACATTATGCCGCGCATGCGCGCTCACAGTCCATTCGTGTAGAAAAATATTTTGCCCACGGCGTTGGCCAAGCATGTGTTCAATGCATAGTTAAAATTACCTCTTTTCAGGGGTCAACATGATAGAAAGGTTAGATAAAAGGTCACAATCACTCTTTACCGTAGAGTCTTAGCATCGCTTAAAAGTTATTTAAAAAAATGCAAAATCCACAGTTTAACTTGATAGTTCGAATATAATAAGCAGAGATTTGGTTAATGTAAAACTCAAACTCAAAAACTCAACTCATTAAATTCGTTTTATTTTTGCAAGTGGGCTTTTAAAAAGCACTTTTACACGTCCCAGTACTACCCTGGGCCCCGCTAAAAATTTTCAACTACAACGCGACTAGACGACGATCGAAAAATCACAAATTCGTATCGCGGTGTCGCTTTGACAGCTAGTTAAAGCGAAAACCTTAGATTAATAAAACCTAGATGGATAGTCTTCATACAAACGCTTCGTCAAGAGTGAGGCAAAAAACTTATGTCATTAGTGTCAATTTTGTTGGGGAGTGTAGACAGTGAAAGCGATTTTCCCGAAAGTAGGGAAATTTTTAATACGTTTTTAATTATTTTATAATTAACAAAAACAAAACGCATCATGTACTTACTTATTTATTGAATTCAAAGTACCGACCTAATAACAATAAGATAAATCGACTTAAAAGTCTCGATTTCATAAAAAAGGAAGTGTATTTGTACGGCGAACAATTGGTGAAAACATTGAATTTTCGGATAGATCCAGTTAATTCTGTAACCTATTACTGATACCGTTTGAAAGAGCTCGTGAAGCACTTTCAGGATCAATAATCAGTTTTTCGATATCTTGTATAGATAGTTTAGAAGTAATCGAGTGAGATCACTGTCTTCTCGTTTCCAGTTTTAACTAAAATCGGGACTATTCCCAACTCTCGTTCCCACCACTGCAACTCCTGTGTAGCCAGGATCTACGGCTTGACCGCCACAAAACCCCAACCAATGAAGGTCAAGTTTGTCCCGGGGGAAAGTTAAACTGTCATTGGACCCGCAACGAAATTATTCAGAAGAACATAGGAGGAGTTCGAAATTAAGGTTCGACTTCCCTTCATTGCAAAGCGGATGACAGATGACAAACAAAGGTTTAAAACCTTTAAGAAAAGACTATGCACCACGGACAATAAATATCAATTAAGGGGGCATTTATCTTATGAGCAATTAGCAACTACCTGCCAATAATATTTTTCACAAAATCGCTTAAAAGCACGGAAATTTTTCCTTGTCGCGACAAGATCGGTGTAATAAATTACGGAAACAGATGTAGGTATGTTGTATTGAATTAAGCATTAAATTACGTTCATGTTTCCAAAGATCACACTCCCACAAGATAATATGATGGGCAGACTGCTCATGACTGAATTCATTAGTGGAACACGCAAAAAGGAGACGGAACTAAGTAGTTTGAATTAGTGAAGTTTATGTTTAAAGTTGCCATTCCCCGTGAGGAACTGCGACAAGCAATGGTCGATTTCTAACCATCGCCTAGTTAGACGTTCGCGTACATTCGGGAAGAAATTACATATATAAGTGACGCCCTTTGACTGACGTATTCCATCTTTTTTACCATTCATTAAGTAATTCCTCTTCAACGACTTCTCGGGAATCAAATAATCGGCTTATTNAAATAATTAAAATTCGTCGGACGTGTTTACCAATTTTTCACTTTGACAGTTCATGTGACGTTTACGGGTAAGCCGTGCCGGCTTCCTAAAAATTGCCTCACCTTTCGTGCACTGACTATCTATCTAGGTTTTATTAATCTAAGGCGAAAACAAAACGCAACTGCTTCTTTGTGTAAAAGCTGAATTTGTATAAAAGCTGAAAGAAAGCTACTTTTTCTCAAACGCCTTCACGAACATTTGCTGTGTTTTAGTGAACAAATAAGGTTTGAGGACTTTTTAAATGGAAAGTGATTAAATCCGTTGTTTTGTCTTTGTTTGCACGTGAACTTTACCGCGATACCGAATTTGCACCACAGCTGGAATGAAAAACGGAGCGCAACTGGTGAAGAAGTGCCAATATATTAGAGACGTTAAAAATTAGCGCAATAGGGGCACTGCTTCGGGATAACAAACGGGTCAGTGCTGAGAAGAAGTAGCTCAGTCACTAATGTAGAGCACTTTGTGAGAATGTTATTAATACTCAATAGTTTATTGCTTCCATAATGTTACAACAGGTGTAAAACTATTAAATGTAAATTTAAACCAGACTCTATCGCGTAGAGCGGGGTGCTAAGTAGGCCCTTTCATATAGGGTGAATGTAAAATCATATAACACATTGAAAGTACCTACGTAATACCGTCTGCTCGTTTGCCTCCTATCACATAAAAAAATAAATAATGATCTGCTGTTATATAAATAAATATTTATTTACTACCTGATCAACATCAAGTCGTTTTTGATGAGGTAATTATTCAGGGTGTTTTTTTGCAGTGTACAGAAAGAAATCAATCGAATCAATTGGATGGGTCATGGGTTGGAGTGACAATATTTTACAATTGAAATCACTGGCAATTTTGTAATAAATAAAAATTTCACAATTTGTACTTTTTTCCCTAAAATATGAATAAACTAAGTATAGAGAATTTTATAAAGTCATTATAAAATAGTCATGAAACGAAAGTCATCTTAAAACGAACTCTATACATTCAATACTATACATAAACATTTAAAACACCGTATTTTATTTTGATAGGGTATGCATATATCAATTCACTTGAGTGACTGGAGTCAAGCTGGAGCTTGACACATTAAAATAAACATCCCATACATGAAATATAATAAACGCGATCTTGGAGCAGTCGGCGGAAACAGTATAGTTCGAAGAATCATTCGGTAACTTAAAAGCTCACTCACAAAGTAAACGCAAACTGTCTAATGTCCATATCGCATAGCTCTCTTAAATTGATTTATCGAAACCCTGTTTAAAACCCATCGTATAGACCTTATTTACCATTGAAGTTTATCTATTAAATTTTTTCTCCTCTATTCTTCTAAAGAGTTTCTAAAGTCCGAAGGAATCTAATAATGAGCCAGGGCGGTAATTGGAGGTATGTACCTACCTATGTATAGGTCCTGGCTATACAAGAGTCATGTACGAGTACAGTACCTACTGCAGGAAATGGAAATATTCCTAAATCATCAGGTTATAAATTCAGCGTTGACATCATAAATCCTGACCCATTCTAACCTAACTTACCCTTTTTTGAAGAAATCACACTTTTATTCTTTCTTCTGCGAGTAAAAGGGTGAAGATGCAAGATTTGTTTATAGATAAATATCTTCTTAAATGATCTTGTTTAGAATATCTCTGTGAGATATCATTTTGAACGATTAAGAATTATATAAAATTATATTTGTACATTTTAAACGAATCTAAAGTAAAACAAGCAGTAGGGTGACGGCACCAGTAATGGACACGGCACCAATTATGGACATTTTTTTCGTTGATCGAATTTATTAAGCAACTGTCGCAACATTTTGAACTGGCAACACTAAAATCACAATCAACAGACGTTTGGGCTATCATATTGACACACGTCACCAAAATCGGCCACTTTGTTTTAAGATAGCTGCGAAGTGAAATCTCGTTGCGCGCGGTGGTCATGAAAATCCGTTTTTACTATTGAAAACGTTAAGGAAGTGAGTACATATTTGTGCATGGTGCTATCTTGTGTTGTGCTATAATGATATTTGATGTTATTTTTACTGAATAATAATAAATACCAAGTAAATTGAGCTAAGTTAAAAATGTCTTATCACAGCCATAAGTTTTTTCTGGGATTTGTTCATTACTGGATTCGATATTTTATGAAATTCAGTAATGGACAAGTGTCCATGCTTAAGTTTTTAATTGATTTTTTAGTTTATTGTATTAAATGATTTAATTTGATGCACTAAACATTTGGGTTGAGTTGATTTTGTAATTGCTGTTTATTTTCCAATGATGGACGATGTCCATAACTGGGTATTTTTAGTTGTCCATAATTGGGTTCTTTGTTTTGTCTTAGATGGCACCAANGAAAGTCTGATACTTGAAAATCGAAAACTGATCATGTTGAAAGTTCAAATAGCAGTTATAAAAGTTGATTTCTGACATTATTTGTTTCATTCATGTGTTCAATACAAAAGTGTCCATTAATGGATGTTCATAATTGGGTCCATGTCCATGACTGGGTGTTCATTACTGGATTTTTGATGTCCATCAATGGTGATTTCGTAAATTTCAATTTATATTTTTTTTATTAATTATCTATTAAACATACATGATATTTGGTTTTGTTTAAATGTTCCTCATGTATTTGAGTGCCGAAAAAAAAATCACCACTTTTGTATCGTCAAAAAACATCCCCTTTTTAAACGAAATTCGAATTTAGTGCGCTTAACATGTCCATGATTGGTTCCGTCACCCTAATTCCTGTTTTTAAAAGTTGTATCATCGTACAGCTAATAGATTCGATCCCAGATAATGGTTCTAGTTTACTAGAGGTATACATTACATCAAGCCGATTTCACGGCATTAAGATAACAACGTGGCACCGCAAACAACCAGTCCACTAGCCGCAATGTCCTTTCGCCTTTTCTCCCGTCTCGAAAGAAATGCGTAAACGGCCGTGGCATACACTACATGCATGTGGAGCGAAACTAAACTGGTTAATGGAACTGCAGTTCAAAACGAACCGTATAGCGCACCAGTTAGAGATCCGCTTTGGTTAACAGACGATGCTAAGAAGACCTTTCGTTCGCAACGGATCGACCGGCGCACCAAGTTTGCTGGCACTCCACGCGACAGTACCCTGCAGGACTCCGCGAGAGGAGCACGCGCGTGTCAGCCCCGCCGGTACATTATCATTAACCATTAACACGTTAATCATTAAGACACTTGCCTGAGAGGCTGCTGTGCAACCCGTTAAAATATTTGTGTTATCTCCAGAACCGTGTTTTGTACCAAACAGTGCGTGAACGATACATTTTCCAGAGGATTTCATTTTTATAATGTAAGTATTATTGATTTTTTCGGCCGGTTTCTATTCTGTTTTATATTTGTAATGAAGTCTCAGTTTAATTGGATTTCTAGTTGGCGTCTTTCGCTATATTTTGTCAATTAGCGTTTATACAGTGGTGGGAAATCATGTTGCGGTCGCGATTCCGTTACTTATGTGTTCTTTTGAACTTGTCTGACTACTATAAGTCAGCCATTTCTTCATATGCCGTCCGATATTCAAGTGAGAGCATTCAATTTCTACTTTTCATGAATATGTATTGAGATCGGTAGTATTGGTTCCAATGTATGTATATCCTCTGGTTTCTTGTTTTCCTTAACTCCTTCATGACTATTCATTCCGATGTTTTCATTAGCCGGATCACCGGCGACTGCCGTGACTAATCTGCGGTTAACACTATCAGTTTCTTGCTTACCTTATGTAGGTTATTAGCAGCCGATATCATTTGTATGCCAGTTATTCAAATAATGTTTGTCTACGTCTTGTTCTCATTTCAATGTTACTTTAGTATCTACAGTCTAATTACGCATCTAATTAACAATGTGATCGAATCGAAAGTGTGCGAACGCTTATGAATTCGGCGAAACCACTGAAAGTTCCACGAAAAGTTTATTAAGTATCGTGCAAACATTTAACTGGCACGATGTCTGCATTCGATCAGAATTCGAAAGAAATCAAGAGTCGAGTTAAAACATCTTAAATACAACAAGCCAAACAACATTCTTTTTGACGGAGTTGCCTCCCTACCATGAAAAGATTTAGAAGGATGCTTTCAAAGAGTTTTAAGTTACCTCAAGATCTATGATGGCTATTATTATAAGTGACGCATGTGTTAAAAATTGAACGATACATTGAACTCGCAACAACGGTACCAAGACTGCGACCGGACGAGTGGCAGACGGATACGCTCTCACATGCTAAGTACCACCAAGACGTGTTTGCCAAATTCATGGTCATTCCGATGATATAGTATATAACCATGGAGTTAAAGAGTAAGGAAGTTAAAAAGAACCATGGCAAATCAAAATCGTTGGAGCTATCAGGGTGCAAACTCCTGTAACGATATTTAAAAGACTCAACGACATTTAGTGCTGAATGCTAACTTAAAAGCTTTTTGAAGTTTACCCAAAAGGACTCAGAAATGGTTAAGTAACATGTTTAACAATAAAGCCTCTAATTAGGCTCTCTAATAAGCCTCTTATTGCTCCTTAATCCAATAGGATTCGACAAAAGTCTTCCAAATTGTTGATTGGTGTTTGAAACAAAATTCTTCCAATAAGAATTTGAAATCTACTAGAGATGAATAATGTTTGTAACATCTTAATACAATCTAAAGAAATGTCAAATAAGATTGGACCCAATCATTGTAATTTCAAAGCTACTGTCGTATCTAATGTTATGATAATACATCCATCATTGTCAGTTCCTTGATTTAGGTACGAACTGTGAAGATATACAATTTCATTCAATTCCAACCCGTATTGCCAAGATGCAACTGAATTTACCTTCGAAGCTTTACTGCTTTAGAACAGTGTCAATTATTTCCTTTGCGGAAAAATTTGATACTTCAATTGTAATAAAATTCACGAAAATTTTTGTAACGAGGACCGTCCGTGCAAATATTTCATTGACCCCAATATATTTTGTCATTCGGTTATTAACAGGTGCTGAAATACTAATTGCATAGGTGTTTATTTCAAGATGATCTAAAACAAGTCTTACTTGGAGTTGCCAGAGAAGTCCAAGGCAAGGTTTTGGATACAGAATAAGTTAAAAACTTTTTGCTATCTTATTTATATCATTCAGTGCTAACCAAAAGTTTAAGTATCCACTCACGACTGGGGCTTTTTACTAAGTTCGATGTCCTACCAGACACTTAGGTACTAGAAATGACTCATACGCAAACCCGTACAATGCTACAAACGGATATTATGAACACAAAGATTCAACTATTCAATGACTTGGCCTTCACTGATTGGGTTATTATTGGCGGTCAAGCTGTAGATCCTGTCTACACACAAGAGTTGCAGCAGTGGGAACGAGAGGTGGGAATTCTTCTTCTTCTTCGTCGCTACACTCTTGCCAGAATGGTCGTGGTCGTCACACCAGGTCCAGTGGCAAGTCTTACAATCCGTCGCCATTCCTCCCGCACTGGGAAGTGGGACGTGGGAATAGTCCCGTATTATTCTATTATCTAAAAAAAATTTTTATATTCTGCTCAAAAACGCCTTATTTATGTATATTTTTTCCTAAAAAGATACAAAATCTTCATTCATTTCCCTATGTGCATCGCGATCTTCTTCTTCTGATTAATTTTGTGGAAAGTTCAAAGACTGTTTCACTTAACTTACTCAGTCTACATTAGTAGAGTTTAAATGGTGGTAGAGCTTAGCTATATTTAGCTGCACGAAAGAAGAATATTTCTTGATCATCTAATTCAGTGTTGATACCATAACTATGTTGTAACAGGCATCACTCAAATATGTTATTGTTTGTCTAAATATTCTCTACAAAGAAGTCGGTTTAAAAAAATCTTCCATCATTCGCTTCCGCGTGCGTATTTCGTGATCTTCATCAATATCTTGATTATTTTATCATTTTACATAAAAATGGCACTTGCAGCTTTCAAGATTATCACCTTTGCTTGTACCTGTGCTACGAGTAAACTTATTCTATTACTGTCATTTTCAGTATAAAAGTTGTGTGAAGAATATCTTCCCATACTTCGGTTCACATCTATAAAAAGCGTCTGTTTGTCACGTCAAGATAACAGGTTTTTACAAAATGCTTATGAATGAAAAAAGAATTAACTACCAGTCTACATATAAGTAATAAATCTATGTGTTCCGGTTAATCTCCAAAAGGGTTGCACCGATTTGTAACTGACAAGAACTGAAAAGGGCAGCTTTTATTTAAAAAAAAGAGAGTATGGGGTAGCGCGCTAAAAATTAAAACCAATAAGAAACCCAGTTACAGTCTGACATGCAAGAGGCAAAGTCGCGGGCAGACGCTAGTTCAAAATTAATTCGTTGAATAAGAATATGTTTACGATAGTGACAATCGAGTACAATGGCGTATTATAAAATTACCACACGTACAGATCCGTCGGCGGCAACAATAGGAGACTGTGTGACGCGCATACCGCTTCAAGCATTGTCGAGATGAACTTACTACACACATTGACGTCAAATGTGTCTGTCAAGAAGCTGTTGACTCAATGACAAGTCTGCTAGAGTCGAAATTGCTACATAAACCAACCACCGACTCTACTTGCCCCCCCGCACTCTTCCTAAGTCAACACAACATGGCCACAAATGGCACTCTGAGTGTGAGTCACACGTCCCCAATTTACTTAGGCCTTTGATAAATCGATTAACTCATACTTAATGTAACAGAATTAAGCGGCAAGACAGGTCCAAGTAAAGTGGCGAGACGTAAAAACAAATGATTTCTGCGTTCATAACAAAAAGAACACAAGTACAATACTTTGTTTCGTTTCAATTGTTTGGTTATAATTGCATCTAAAGGCTAATTAAAGAAGATGAAAATATATCTTTAATTAATATTAAATCATTATTATGGAAAAACTTGCAACTGTTTTTTGACCCACTTTCATTCTTTGACCTGCCTCCACTTAACTTTGATGACGATACAAAAATGTAGTTTGACACAAAACAAAATACAATGGTATTCTGTTTTCAACCGACTTCAAAAAAGGAGGAGGTTCTCAATTCGACCCGTATGTTTTTTTTTTTCTATGTTTGTTACGCGATAACTCCGCCAATTATGAACCGATTTGAACAAATCTTTTGTCCCATTTAAATTTAATAATAGAAAAAACAACCCCCAAGGGTGGAAAATTGGGGATGAACTTTTTTATACGCAATATCTCCGCCGATTATAAATCAATTTGAACGATTCTTTTTTTGTTGAATAGGTATTATCAAAAGGGTGGTTTCATGCGAATTTGAAGTAAATATTTCACCCCCAAGGGTGGAAAATTGGGGATGAACTTTTTTATACGCAATATTTTTAATTTTTAGTTTTTTTTTGTGTTCACGCATTTGAAGTCGGTTTTATTTTTTTAAAAAGTTAATTATTTACTATTATCTACTTTATCTTTTCACAGTAAATACTGTAACTTGTGAAAGCAAATAAAGTCGAATCGAAATAAAGCAAAGTAACGCCTGATACTATTAAATAAATAGATCGAATTATAATAGTAATTAAAAAAATTAGAATGTTACGATTATGAATTAATTCCGGGCGTCAATTGGCACGCAAAATGAACTGCGCCAATCTCGTCCTATCCTAGGTAATAACGTAGACACAAACATTATTATTTTAGCAGCATTAACACGGGTCAGTAATGTGATTTCACACACACTTTCTAATGATGTCGACGTAAGAAGTATAGTTAAGTATAGTTAGCTTACATACATGTGCTTGACCCCAGTTCAAATAACGTTAGTAAGTTGTTTTACACTCAATGTGCATGCGCATGTCATTTGCATTACGTTGGCAGTATTGTTATCTTGACACTTAGATATAGGGAACATTGTTGTAGCATGTTTTAGTAAATATCTTCTTTTTCCATAGCTTTTTGGTTCCTAATATTTCTTTCTTCGTTTAAATCATTCTGTGACTCTATGTGTATATTTATTCATTATTAAAAGCACACTGACCATCCTCAGGAGTTCGTACAAGTTAGTAATGGCACTCTGTCTCTACAAAGAACATGGACTACGAATACATAACAGTAACTGCCTAACACATCATCCTATCATTGTCATAATATAAGCCCTCAATTCTGGTCCATTATTTGATAAACATTAATAAGGAAATGACGTTACCACGTCGTTGCATCGCTGTGAAACTGTGAAGTGTGACACCGACGCACAGGTCTTGAATTCTATTGACATTTGACATACAAAAACCATTTTGAAAGCATGAAATGTTCTGCAAGACCAGCTGCGATATCTAAAATAGATAGT